ACTAAAATTAGCACAAACCAGCTGAAACCATATGAGAACAGAATTGACTTTATCCCCGGGGAGAGTCCATTTATCATCAATCACTTTTACCTCGTCCGATCCCATATATCTATTTTATCTTATTAAAGCGGAGCTCACAAAGCCAGCCATACCTACAAAATTTGCTAACTCATCAAGCCGAGAAAATTCATATGACCGTACTACTGGTGGAATCAAATTTGAAGTCATTCAAATACTGTGCAAACATTGACCCATATATCTCTCTATTCGCCGCTTTATTTCGTTGTTCGATCTTCTGTTGAAAAATGGAACTTTCTCAAAATATCAAGCCTTGATGGCTTACTGCGCAGGACAAAAACTGTCGGATTTTCATATGATAAAATATGTTGTGTACAAATTGCAAACGGCGGCGCATGTAGCATACAAGAGAGATAAACAATTTTTTTTCTCAGGATCAGTCCTGAGTCGGACTGAGTTTCTCTTACAATAAATGCTCTAACCCCCAAAAATGAGGCTTTCTTGCAATTAATGTTTTGCATCGAGAAGTTAAAGAAAAAGGGTTTTTGCTGTCTATCAGGCGCCGAGCACAGTCACAATCGACAGAGTTGTGCTGTTGTTCTTTTCGCGCTTAGTGCGTGTTGCGTCATCCTCGGAGACTCGGGCTTTGAGTCGGTTTCAAGTCAGGGCGAGAGGTAGGTAGACAGGATGGTCTACCTAAGGTCTCTTCTGTCACAAGGAGCTCGTAGAGTTGTTGCTAGTACTAACGATTGAGTTTTATCACTAGCGATTGATATTTTAGCTCTAATGATTGAGTTTTATCACTAACGATTGATATTTTAGCACTAACGATTGAGTTTTGTCACCAGCGGTTGATGATATTGGCACAAATGGCTCCCCATAAGAAGTGGAGGTTTGGTCAGAGAAACCACTTTTCCTGTTCCAAGCCTTTCATGGCTTTGTCACATGTTTCCAAGGCTCCTCCTGGTTTAACATATCAAAGCGCACGCAAAAATGCCAGTTACGCTGGCAATAGGGGGAGTTCCAACTCGTTTCAGCTTTTTTCTTTAAAGGCTTGTAAAAGCCAGGGGTGATAGCTATATCCCTTTTAAATTGGTTAAGAACTTAAAATTTGAAAACAATTAGCCTGTTCCAGGTGTTCGGCCGGTAAAATTGAACACAATAGTGAACAGCACAAAGTGGCAGCAGAGCGAAAATAGAATCAAGGTTTCCACTTTTATCCAACTCAATCCAAAACCTCCTTCCTCTTTTCGCTCTGCCGCTACTGTCGCTCCGTTTAGCATCATGCTCCATTTTTCTAACTAAACTGCTTGAACAGGGTGTAGGACATGCGTTTCTCTTTCCACAGGAAAGTTTGAAAAATGTCAGGGAGAAGTTGACGGAGGTTTAGCATTAATAATGAGTACTAGACCCCTTGCTGACTGGATTGCGTCACACAAGGCCTCATATTCTCCCGCAAGCAAAGAATCACTCGTGCGGAAACGGTTATCCCTTTACTGCCTTAGGGAAATGCCAAATTTTTCTAAAACGAGAACGATGAACCTTTAGACCACGTATAATATATCATTTCAAAGGTGTTTTCAGGGGTATGCTATAACGACACTAACAGGCTAGGAGGATGTAACTAAAAATACTGAGAAGTGTTCAAAGTGAAAGATAAAAAAAAAGGTTGAAATTTGGTTGAAACCCGATGGTTTAAATGTTGTGAAAGGGTCGATAATCGCTCTGCTACGCTTCAGCGCGTTGATAATTTTATTTCAGGAAAACATTTCGCTACGCTGTAAACGATCTTGTCTCAGATTGGTCAAAAACTGACAGGTGAATTCATGCGTGTAAATGAACTTTATTTTCTGATTGAGTGCAAAATTCTCGAGGAATTTGTTTGCTGACGTCATGGGCGTGCACAATAGGAATATGAAGCACGCTCACGCAATTGAATTTACGCGCTCTTATATTAGAACAGAGCTAGTAATCAAATTCAATTGCGCGAGCGTGCTTCATATCCCTATTGTGCACGCTCATGACGTCTGCAAACAAATCCCTTGAGAAAAACATTTTCCATCGGGATGAAAATGTTATAAAACAATTGGTTCATACGTCAGCTGTGCGTTCATCGAGATATGAAGCACTTGAGAAGTTTAGAGAGCACTCAAGAAGTTAGAGCCACGCCTCGAGCAACTCTTATGCATCTTTCGTGCTCTCCAAACTTCCCGCGTGCTTCATATCTCGATGAACGCACACCGACGTATGAACCAATTGTTAAATAAACTATAGCTAAAATTGTAGCTCCTAGAGCATTGTTTGTTGTGAGATATAACCTTGACCAATACAATAAAAAGACAAAAAGACAAAAAGTTGAAGGGTGGTATATCAAGTGTCATATTGGAGGGGGCTATGCTTTTATGCCCTCAATATGCCCAACGGCACTCTTTGGCATTTAAGGGGATAATTATACTGAGGGTCTGTTGACAGACCACAGGCTAGCAAACAATCCTTTACTTTATGTTTCTTGATTCCTTAGTTTTATTTGGAATTTCATTTCCAGATAAAATCATTATAAATTAATTAAGGCGATTTTAAAAATTTTTTGGATTCATGTATGACCAGCCTGACTTCTGATGATGTGCTATTTCACATTCATTTTTTCCCGTCGAATTTTCTTATAATCCTGATAAATAATATTGAGGTCATCCACCCTAAAATGTAAAAATTCTCATGATAATTTTCAACCTGTGAACTGTTTCAAATTGGGGGCAATTCTTCAAATTTCTGGCTTGAAATTTTGTTTTTCAGTATTTCATAGTAGTGTTTAGAAGGTCTTGGACTGATGCATTCTTGTAATACAGGGAATTATGTAGTGTAAGACCAGCTCTTGTATGTGTCCACCCAGTCATTAGCAAAAATCCAGTCTGGAATAGCTTGCATGACTTCTTTCAGGAAAGGTGAAGATGACTCTTTACCGTGAATATAATGAGCTGCCACAGCAAAGTCTAACAGATTTCTCTTGGCCAGGAGGTGTCTTTTTGGCTGAAATGATATTTAAATGCAAAGAATCTTAGGATACATTAGCCTGAGAGCAGGCGCTTGCTGTCAGCAGTGCAGGACCCATGTTTCTCTGCCCAAGGGAATATTTGAGTCAGGTCGGGGAGGGGGTTCACCAGGGCTCAAGTCAAGTCACGCAAAAGACAACTAGCCCAAAGTCATGTTGCCCAAAACCAGATTAAAGTTGCCTGAAACTTTTAGTCTTGTTGCCAGAAATCCTGAGTCACGTTGGCCGAAGAAACAAATACTGAAAAGAAACTGACAGGCTGTAAATGGGTAACGAATTTGAGAAATCTTTATCTATAAAGTGCTGTTTGTTCCTAATAATATGATGAAGATGATGAACAGAAAAGAAATATGTACTAGTGACAACAACAAAATGAAGCATTGTTTGATATGAACTTGTTTTGGACCCACAAATGTTTTGTGAATTTGAGAAATCTTTATCACTCATGCAGTGTTCATTTCCACCAACACCATGAAGACTTTGACTAGTACACAGAAAGCAATCATTTAGTCAGAACTGAAATATGTTTGAGTAATGACCCTAAAAGCATTGTTCAGTTCTGTAACAACAATATGAAGCATTGTTCATTTCTATAACAACAAAACTGAGTCTTGTACTGTTTAAAAGGTGTACATTTCTAAAAGACTGTGGTGCTGTGTTACTCAAGGCCTCATATTTTCCCGCAGGTGAAGAAACACTTATGCCATAGCACTTATAATAAGGACCTGCTCACTCTCTTGGTATAGCTTTCTATACAGTCGTTGCTCTGACAACAATACGGAGCTTAAGCAACCACGACGACTACCGGGACGACGACGACCGGAAGTAGGATGAACGTTAGTGCGCAAGCGCGGCCCAAACATTTCGTCGTCGTGCCAGCGTCGACGACGTCAGAAAGAGTTGTTTCACGTAGTCGTGAACGTGGGAAGAAACTTGAGTTGAATTGAGCACTAAAAGGTACGAACTTACTACCATTTGCCAAATTTGATAACTGGTTGGAGTTTTTATTGTCTTGTGCCGTTGTTTTAAGCTCTTATGTTCGGGTCAATTATCACAAACGGCTTATTTTAAGTTTTCCTTTTTTGCACAGATGGCGGCAAGTGTGAAAACTGGAGAGAAAGCAAACACGTAAGCAATTTATTGACGGAATTTAGTGAAAGAATGCTGATTGTGATTATTTTTGAATGAAAAGTTTTAGATAGCAGTACTATATACCTGTGAATTCGGGTGCAAGAAAATATAAAGTAGGTAAATTGTAGATTCGATCTTTTACTTAATTAAAAGCGTCGAGGGTTTTCATCAGATTGCGTGTTTACATTACTCAAGCCTTTTTCCCTCTCTGGTTTTGTAACTTTATTTTCGAAATATTTCACTAACTATCCGGCTAAAAAAAGATTCCCTTGGCCGTGAATGTGAAGAGAAAATAATCTTAAAGGCTCGGAATTCGTTTTGCTTGCGTGAAGTAGAAAGCAACCTTATTCAAACCTGAATCCTGCATTTATCTGGTGCAACATCAGGTCTGTTTATGAGTTACACCCCGTAATGTTAAATGGGAAATAATCTCCGTAAAATCTAGTGTTCTTAATATTTACGGCGGGTAAAAGAAATGTGCAATAACTCCTCAAAGTCTAGTATTCTAAATATTTACAGCGGAAATTAAAAATACACGTATCGCCGTGAAAGAACTCGCAGAACAAATTGCAAATGTAGGAGGTCGGAAATAAAATAATTTGCATTGCTTTCGATCTTTTTATTGCGGTAAATTTTCCCTTAAAATTTAGCTCTTTTAACAGCAAAGTAATATGAAAAGATTTTATAATATCAAATAGTGGATTAATTAAATTTTTATTTAGCACAATCACTCACAAATCCTTTTCTTATCTACTTTGGTAGAAATCCAAATTTCGTGTGGAGTAATGACCACGATATCGTTATGTGTCGAGAGGTTCTTCAGATCGAGCCCTACCAATTTAAAATCAGAAGTCCAGAAAGGGGGCAGGCCTGGGAATCTTTGACAGAAAAGTTAAACGAAAATTCATGTCCAAAGTTCCGGGTGACTGCAAGGTCCGTACGAGACCGCTACAACCTCCTTACCAAGAAAATGGCTGCAAAACTAAAGAGTTAAGAGAAAGCTAGCGCATTCAAGTTGAAACTTCAGAGCTTGATGATCTCTTAGAAGAAATCCTTGAGAAGGAAAAAAAAAGCTAAAAGAAAAGTTGGAGAGTGACAACCAGAATGACAAGGCAGCAGCCAAAGACATGCGAAAGAAGGCTCTAGAACGTATGGGGCAAACTGCGAAAAGAAAAAAAGAAAGTGATGACTCAGTACCAAAGAATCTGAAGAAGAAAAAAAGTCGAAGGAGCACATCAGATGCTGTGGAATATTTAAAAGAAAGGGCGGATAAAGAGATTGGTTTGAAAGAACAAGAACTGGAATTAAGGAAGAAAGAGCAGGAGAACATAAAAGAAAGGGAAAGGGAAAAGAACCAGAATCAAGAAAACTTGATCTCCGCCATGGTCAAACAACAGCAGCAGCAACAGCAAATGATGATGATGATGATTAATCAACAGCAGCAACAGTCACAGGCATTTTTAGCTTTTATGCAAAAATATGTTCCAAAGTAACTTTTTCACAAGTTTGTTTGATGAACATTATTGTTGAGTTAAAGTTGTGCATCCCTCCCTTGATATTTTCAAATCTTTTGTTAATAACATTTGTTCTAAAGATGATAATTTATTTCATCACAAACATTTTCAAACTTATTGCGATTATAAACTTTACAATATTTATAAAGTGCTGAAGACTATTGTTATGAGCTCTCCTTTTGATTTAAGAGCAAGTAAACAGTAAACAAATGAAAATCTCATGAGAAATACTCTTCCAGTGTTGGTGGGTCAAGATCAAAAAAGGTGGCCGTTTCGTTGCCATAAAGACAGGTAAGGGCATTCTGGAGAAGAGCAGAAACGATATACATTTTGCCAATGCTACTTAGCCCAATTTTAAATTTCTCTTGAAGTCCAAGAACTTAAAGTAGTTTATTATGTCCCCAAATAGCCATTCAACAGAAGATCTTACAGCACTCATTGCAGTATTGTAAGCCTTCATTTGATCGGTTAAAACTCCAAATCGGAACGGACCCTGAAGATGGACTCTAAGTGGGTACGCGGGATCTCCATACAGGCACATTGGTTGGCCACCATGGTCAAAGGCGTACTGCTGTAGGTCTCGCAACAGTCCCGAATCTGCAAGCATTGATGCATCATGCTTTCTGCCTTCTGAAACAAGCGAAGGATACAAAAAAGTTACAAAAAGTAATTCATTACTATTTTAAAAGACAATTTTTTTTATTTGAAATCGCAATAACGAAAATATAGCTACATAGTTCACCTACGGGACCATACATGTTTCCAATTAAGCCATTTGGTAACACAAAAGACTGAAACTTGATAGCATGGACCCTCTTATGTCCATTGTATAGTATACGCTGATTGTCTCCTGGTCGAGCGATTGGCGTTACAGTGCCATCGATGAAGCCAAAGCAGTTGTGTAAAGGTGAGCCTCTTGCCGTAATGGCTGCTGCGTACGTCTCAAGGTGGTCGGGATCCAAGATCTCAGGATTCCAATGGGTCAATCGTCGGCCATGGACATCAAATATGTAGTCGATCAAATTATTTGTCACCATGCTGATGACAGGGACTGGCTTGGCAAATCTATGAATCATGTCCCCGTATCTGCAAGGGTAGCTTAACCGTCTCAAAAGCATACATAAGCCCTCCACACCGCCACAAGTCGACCTCTGGTCACATCGTAAGATCTGAGGAATTTGCAGAACATCGGCAAGTCGGTACACATCTCTTTTCTTGAAACGAAATTCAGCGAGGCACTCTGACTCGACCATCTCATCTAAGTCGAATTCCGCGTAAGATTCGTAAGGAAAATCCGGATTTCTTGGCTCGAACATGTCATATAGAATCGAAAGTTCCATATCATCAATAAAATTAAATCCATGACTGAGAAGACATAGATTCTGAACGTCTCTAAACGATGTCATTTCTTGACAAATGCGAGGCTGCACGAATATATCGAACGTCGTCGTCCTTGAGCAACTTCGCTGCTTAAGTTTCATTTTCCCGCCTAAAACGAAGTCCTCGGTCCAGTCTCTCCGCGCATACCTGCCGTCGTCGTCCCCTAGGTCGTCGTGGTTGCTTAAGCTCCCTAATAACTACCCCAACTACCACATTAGTGAGCCTTTATATATATATATATATATATATATATATAGGAAGTCTGCAAGTCGATTTTCGCGTGGAACAGTGCTCAATACGTTGAAGCAGAGCAGAATAAATATTATGAGAGGAAAAAACGACGTAACTACATTTCCCGACAAGCTTGTTTCGTGAATCGCTTCACTCTTCAGGGGTTTAAATGATTAAACCCCTGAAGATTGAAGCGATTCACGAAACAGGCTTGTCGGGAAATGTAGTTACGTCGTTTTTTCCTCTCATATATATATATATATATATATATATATATATATATATATATATATACAAAATGTTCTGGAACATTCTAGAAGCTTACAAAATCAGACGACCGCAAGGTGGGAGTCTGATTTGTTAATCACAAGCATGATTAATACTGTAATTGTCCGACTCACTAGAAGCTCAAGCGATAGTTCCCAGGGCCCCACATCAGTACCATGAGAATAGTAAATAAAGTACACAACTCTGTCCCCACCATCTTGAATTGGTAAAAGGGGACCAAGGGAAGAGGTCAGCAAATCTACATCACTAGCAGGTGATAGATATACAGCCATGTGATCAGGACCTAAGGCAGTGAGAAGTCAGACACTAGTGAGATATGAATGCATGACATGATAATGTAAGGAGAAATTAGATGCTGGTCACTTCAAGGGGTCAAAGGGTTAAAAGAGAGAAACCTGACCTGATATTGAGAATTTAAATGAGTAAACTTGATCCTGTTTCTTCCTTTGTAGCAATTTCACTTCCATTGGAGATGTTTTGACTTGGGGTGGAGGACCAGGGAGATACCAAGATTTTCTGATTGCAAATATAACACTTCACAGTTAAACAGAATTATAAATTGAACTAGACAGTAGTTTTAAATATTCAGAATGGTAATTAAATAAATTCAGAGTTAAGTTCATGCAGGATTCTTTCTCTATATATAGAATCTATGGATCAAGTATAACAAATCACCTAGTAAATGTCACAAACTAAATGCTATAGGTATTTTGGAGTAACAGTGAAAGAAAAAAAGTGCGACAGCTCATGGTACCTATTGTTTACTTTAGCTTTGTTATCAAGTAGCCTTGAAAGTGCTCCTTAAAGATTCAAGGATAGGTAAGCAAAATAAATAAATCACATATGGTATGAAAGGAAGATCAACACTTAGATAACACATGGTCCCCATTTTTTAGCCAGTTGATTAATTAAGCAAAATTGGATCATGATGATGTACAAGCTCTGAAAATCTGGGCACATAGAGCTACTGTTTCACCAGAATATTTCTGTGCCATTTTCTGTTGACCCCTCCCTTTCCAGAGTTAAAGCAAGGCTGTGTATTTTTCTGCCCAACTTGCCTAACATATTAAGTTAGCAAAGCCTGACAGCTTGTATTCTATTTCATACTTTTCTTTGATGAAATTCCAGTGAATTGGCCATGCACTGAATGACCAGAGACCAACAGATAAACATTGAATGAGCAAGTGCCACATACCACACGAGATGCCTCAATGGCAGGTAATAAGGAAAACCTCCATAAACTCCGTCCTGAGGTGCAGGCAAAGCTTTCTTAAACATGGGTATATCACTGAATGGCTGTATGCCAAGATAGTCCAATGGAGTGATCCAGGCAACTGCATCTTGTTGAACCACTTCACCAGCATTATTGTAAAATGTTCTTGAAGTGTGCTGCATGTAGAAAAAAGGTTGATAAGAGGTTTGACTGAAATACATCTTTTGGTTGGTGTCATCAGTGGTGTGAATATATCCACTATTCAATGGTTGAATAAATGGTTGTGAAAATGTACACTCCTGTATGATTTTAGAACCCTCAAAAAATAATAATCTATGCTGAAGGCTTGAATAATTAAAATGTAAGCATGCATGGTGTCAGGGCTTTGCAACTTGCATTTTCAGAAAATCCTGGCTGGGGAAGTTGAGACATGTTTTAAAAGAAAAGGCTTCAACTATGTTTGAAGTTGTTTCTGGTCATTGTAAGAATAAAGGAAATGATCATCGCTTAAGGAAGTTCTTGATTGTCAAACAAATTCTCGTTGTCAGTACCATAGGAAATGCAAAGAGATCTGGTGTAAAGGGTTAAACTTTTTATAAGAGAACCTCTGATCTGAATACAATTTTTGTCTGTTCATTCTGCTCACTTCAATCTGGAGACTAGCATACTATGTATTTGTTCACATTGTCTTGTTACCACCAAAATTGGCTAAAACAGTTAAATTGGACAAAACACACAAATTACCTGAATAAGTTCAACTGGTAAAAGTGGTCAAATTAGCTGAGTAGGTTAAAGTAAACAAATTGCACAGATACGCTTAATTTGTTTCAGTGGTTAAAATAGTCAAACATGCTGATTTGCTTCCACTAGACAAAATGCAAAAACTAGCTGAATTAGTGCAACTAGTTAAAATAGTTCAATTAGCTAAAACAGTTGGTACAATCCTGCAGGAACAGGAGAACAAAAGTTTGTGTAAGTAATGATCGAATGAATATCTTCTTACCTGAAAGAACACCCTTTTAGGGCACTGATTGATGGCTGAGTAAGGAAATGACAGTCCTGAGAGCGATATAACCATTCTTACAGTGGTAACAAACAGAAGAAATACGGCTGGAAGCTTGAGGTTTCCCAGAAAATACACAATGCTAACCTAGAAAAAAGGTAAATTTAAATTATACAAGTTTATTAGAACTTTGTGGGAGATGTGTTGGCCAAATGGTTAGCTTGCTGAACTCTAAGTTGAGATGACGTCTGGCTTTGAGACCTGGCCAGGTCATTGGGTTGTGTTATTGAGCAAGAAACATAACACTTTCTCAGTGCCCCTCTTTCTCTCTCTCTCTCTCTCTCCATCCAGGGCTCAGTTGTTCAAAGCTGGGTTAAGATAACCCAGGGTTAGTGTGAAATCTGAATTCAGATCATTCAGGAAAATTCTTTTGTCTACAATTTGAGGATTGAATGCTCTAAAAAGCATAGAGAAAATTATCCCAAAAAAAGGCTTTTAAACAAGTGAATAAAGAAACCAAGAATAAAATGTAAACCTACACTGTATGTTAGCACTAATCACCTTTCAAACAATTGGGCCCAGAATTAAGAGAAGGTACCAACCAAGTGTGTCAGGGAAGCCTGATAAAATTCTGGGGGGGTTATCCTTGTGATGGACTGGCATCACATTCAGGGGGGTTGCTTGGCTCAAGTACAAACTTTCCCTTAATTATCTTCTTATCAGAATTTTAACAGTATTTAATCAGCAAATTGATTGAATTTCACTGAGCACACTCACCATATAAGAAGTCAACAGCACAACTCCAAAGGCACACAGGACACTTATAAAGACATCTGGGGGTGTTTGTGTTCCAGCTCGACCTATAATAGGCATAAAGACGTCAAACATAGCAAATGTCAAATACATACAAAACTGAACAGGTACTAGTGTAGCTAAGAGATACATAAACAAAAACGCTCCAACATTTTCATGACTTGTCTTTGCAGTTAATACATTGTCCCATATAACAACTCGTATAACCAGTGGAAAGATGATGAAGAGCAATGGTAAATGTGCTGAAGCCAGGCGATAATATGACATTATCAACATGACTATTGTCCAGACAAGGAAAGCAGCATAAAATGTTTCTACTTCTTTCTTCACAAGTTGGTTAGATATCCTTTCCTTGAGAGGAATGTTGTCTTCTCTCTTCTCTGACACAGCTTTTTCCTTTTTTCCTGAAAAAAACATTGAAAACACTATCTTTTGGTAAATGTAATTTCCATCTTCATTTTTGGATCTGTGACTAGTCCTCAATAAATTTATAAGATTTTGAAGCTGATGCTGAGATGCAGTACAGCAAAGTATCCCACAACATGAAAAAAGATGCAGTCCAAACTTAAACTGGTAGGAAATGCTTATGCATAGCCCATTGTTGGTGGTTTTTTTTTGCTTGATTTGACTTTTAACCTGTTCCGCTTCACTGGAAGCATAACAAGTGTGCATAGCCACTGTTCTCCCTTATTTTAAGTAAAACAGGTATGTTAAATTTTCAGACCAATCCTTTAAAATGTTGAATTTTCCAGAATATCAAGTGATTTTAGGCAGTAACAAGAGGTGCTACTAGTGATGAATTTTACCAGTTACTGCCTGAAAAGGAGGATACTACATAGCTAAGTGCTACAAATTCTGCCATAAGAAACTGAAAACAGAGATCAAAATGAAAATATAAATTTTGGTTCTTTGTTCTTTTTTCTTGGTTCTTTTCATATGTTGAACAATCAAACCAATGAATTAAGACATTGATAAATCTTTAACCTGACAAAATAAAATTCACTTTCAATGGAGACAAATAATGAGATTCAAATGAGTGCAAACAAAGACTTGAGATGATCAGTTCACCACAAGTACATTATGCAGACCAAAAAGGAGGCAAAACAATATTAACTTTTCTGTTGACCCATTAACCCCTTAGGGAGACTAGCATCTCATTTCTTCCCATGCTGTCCAGGTGTTTCAAAATGTATTGAAGTCGGCATTAGATGCAGCAAAAGTATGTGAGTGGGAATTAGTTCATTAAGAGGCCAAAAGGTGATTATTTTGATCAGAGTAACCAGGGACATGTTATTAAGTATGCGGTGAAACTCTGGCAGTCAACAGCTTGTCTTGAAGTCTGTGACTGTCACCCCCCAGATCAAATATATTGGTCATAAGAAGGAAGGAAATTGTCAAATTTTCTTTGCTTGTCACTAAATTGACAATTAAATTGTGTCTACCTTTGCCACAATAGACTTCTTAATGAGAAAATGAACCAAACCAATGCCCAGTAGAGATGGTGCTGTGTATAATGCCAAGATTGGCAGTACCAAGTTAGTGAGTGACCTGAGTACGTCAGAAGGACACCTACAGCCACAGAGAATGATGTTCCAACTATCCATGAGAGTAATAGGATGAACAGAGAGATGATAAGGTCTCCTACACCAGATGAAAGTCTTAATACTTTGCCTGATGAAAAACAACAGTTAAAAAGAGTGTTCAGTTGCAGTGTACTTTAAGATTCACAATCTTGTAAAATTGTATGACACACCTCATCTATGCCATTTTTCCTATCACAGTAGGAAACTGGCTTTACAAAAAACTGAAAATGTTGAAAATTTTAACAATATGCATGGAAACAATGAAGAGAATATAAAAGCTTACCATTCCCAAAAATGACCTAATCATATGTTACGAAATGCTCCAAAAGAGTGGATGAAAAAAAAACCACCCACTGTTACCTTGTTTATTTTGTGTAGCTTCGATTTTTTTTAGACTAAAAAACTTTAATGATTAATTCACACATGGAAAAGAAGATGTACTCAGGTCAGCTCTAGGGCCTATGCTTCCATAGCTCATTGTACAAAATTTAGAAAATGTAGAATGTTAATAATAGATATCTGCTTGTAGATTATGCCTTACCTTCTTCAAAGATGGTTCTCTTTGCTGGAAAATGAAGGAATTTTTTCATAAGACAAAGAACTGCCACAAAAGCCGATGTCAGATTTATCACCAAACCAATTCTTTCAGGGTAATGTACCACAAAAATTCCCAGGAAGTTGAAAAACACCATGGAACCATGATGATACTCTCCAGGGTCAGCCAGAAATGGTGAATTAACTATGCTCTTGACCAAAGCCAGTATGTTATCACCAGCACGCTGGATAGAGCCTGGAGTAACAGCAGCTGGTGTATCGTAATTTGTGTGATAAACATAACCATTGGCAATATAGGCAAGGTCCATTCCTACACATCAGAAAATTATTAGTATACTAACCAGATTGGTTCAATGCAAAAGAGATTTTCACTAAGATTACAATCAATCAGTCAATAAGGTAATCAATGAATAATGAAGTGATCAAATACTAACCAGTCATTCAGTCAGTTAAGGAGCATTTCATTCATTCATTCAGTTGGTCAGTCAGTAAGTCAGTCAGTAAGTCATTCAATCAGTCAGTCAATCTGTCAGTGTGAAAGAGTAATTCAGTTAGTAGGTCAGTAAGTTGTTCAGTAAGCCAGCCATCAAGTTGTTTATTCAATCATTCATTCAGACAATCAGTCAATAAGTCATTTATTCACTTAGTCAGTCATTCAGTCATTCAATCAGTCTCTAGGTGTCAGTCTATAATTCAGATACCTGGTACTTAGCCAAAGTCCCTGTGAATCCTGAAATCAGTGTCACTAGGTATGATTCCACTCTGAAAGAATTCTTGGCCCAGAGCTTGTGCACAGGGGTGTGGGACTACCTCTGAATATGTCTTGATCAGCCAAGGATGTTCAGGACCTGCCTGAAATAACACTTCCCTTCCACCTGGATTGAAAAGATAAATCAACTAAAATCAACCAAAATAATAACAAAGATATTACAGGAGTATAAGTGGGTAAACAAAAATTGTCAGGAAAGTCTGATGAAATGCTGGGGCTAACCTGTATTATGGACCATTGTGAAATAATTTAAGTGAATTTTCTGGATTCTCTAGGCACAGTGGCACACCATTCCTTGCTTTACCCTTTCCTAGCTTCCTCTTTCTTTCTTGCTTTTGCCTCATGCCCTTGCATGGCTTACGCACTGCTCACACTTGTTTTCATTTTTATATCCACAGATTGCTCAAATATCTCTTCCAAACATTCCTGAATTGTAGAAATCTGTCATAAATTTTAAGTGTTCATTTGAACACAGTTCATCTAGATTGTTCGATACATATTATTACAACTGTAACATATCCTGCTAAAATGGCAATTTTAAATATTTTATGTCCCTGTCAAAGGACAGTCAGTGGAAAAAGTTTCAAGCCTAACTCTTCTACTTGCCTCTAAACCAAGGCAAATAGTTGCGTCATTTTTCCATTCTTCCAAATTTTGCCACTTTATTGTACTGTTGATATGGCTTCACACATAAGCCCGTGAGAATCCATGATGCACGCAAACATTCTATAATTCTGTAACATGTAAGGCCACATTACACTGCCACTCTCTTAGTGACCATTTTCCCATTATTACCAAAGCCACTGAATACATAACTCTCATTTTTCCTTTTCGTATTTTGACTTTCTTCCCCTTCTAAGCAAGTTTGAACGTTACTGTCTGTAAGTGATAGAGATCATTCGGTTTTTTAGCAGCCATAATCTGAGGAAATTCCTACAAACAACAGTGAGGGCTTTGCCATTCATTCATCAACATGACTGAGTGGTGTAAAAGGTGAGTAACATGTAAGCAGCTGATTAGCGATATCAAGCACTCATGAAAAAAAAAACCTATTTTTTTTTCACCTGTGTTGTTATGGCTTTTCTTAGGGCTGGAAATCCCTATATAACACCACAGTTTATGTAATAAAATTTATTAGCATGCAGTTGAATCGTACCCATCCATATTCGAAGTGAGTACATTATGAGATAAACAACAATACTCAATAAGAGCAGCATATTTTAATACGAAAAAAATGGCATAATGTTGCAACTGGAACTATTGGATGTATGGAGATCTTTGGGGTGTCTACTTTAGCTGTGCTTAACAATGTTGCTCTTGCTTTAAATTTGGTAAATGGCACTTCCTGTTATGTAACTAATAAATACAACTGTAACCTCGCCTGTTTTTTCCTCCTTCACTTCAAAATGTTTCAACTGGGTAATTGATTGGCCAAGTCAAGGAAAATTTAAAAAAGCTTAATTCTCATTTTGAGTTCCTTACCCTGTACATTCTAACTAGTGTCAATATTCTCCACACTGTTGCCCTTACATTTTCCATGTTACTGACAAGGAGAATTTGTTTGACAATCAGGAACTACTTAAATTGGTGATTATTTCCTACATTCTGATAACCTTTACATTTGAATCAAGGTTTATATTGTAAGGAGAAATTAGAAGTCAGTCAATCTTAAGGGTTAAAGGTTAAAGTTCATCTTTGAACACTTCCTGAAGGAAGTTTAACCTCTTTATACCAGTTGAAAATCTTACAAAAATATGAGAGTGGCTACAAAAAAATGTTAAACTTTTGCTACATGAGAGGGCTCATACAATGTACTGTAAAACAAAACCTTGCAGATGAATATAATCAATACTTTATATGATGACATACATGTATCAAAGCACAGCATTACCAGCAATACTTCAATTGTTCCATTCTTTAGTCAGGCTTGTTTCACATGGACTGATCGTTTAAGTTAAGTCAAAGTTTACAACATTAATTTCACCATTCCTGCAAAACTCAAATACCTCAATCAGTGGAATATTCTTCCCACAACAATGATATTGGTCAACAACTACCAACAGATTGTACCACTGGCTTGAAAAACATCCTTCGTTGTAACTGTCAGATGCTTGCTTGTCAGCAAATTCCTCTGATGACAAAGTTTCTATAAATTCAAGGACTTTCTCTTGTACTTGCCAGTCAAGGGTCACTCCAAGAGCTGGTGAGATCATTAACCAGGCAACAGGAGAGTGTTCCTTTAACACATTGTCATTGTCAACACTGTGAGATGACATTCTCAGTTTTTGTTGAAAATGAACTATGAATTCCTTAAGGTCCAAACTCACTGCACTTGATGAAAGGGGGGACTTCTTGTCCTACATAGATAAACAAATTCTCATCACTGACGTAAAGTACTTTATGAAATTACAGCATTTCTAGCTTTAATATTATGGAAATTTTGATAAATATATGTTAACAACTTAGCTGCAGTTACTGATATATATGATCCAATTCCATGGGCCCACTGGGAAACAGTGCAAGACAAGCTGACAAAAGATGTCTGGCTATAGCTATGCTACTGTGAAACGTCCACAGCCACACACAAAGACGAAATACATGCACTTCCCCACAACCTTGACGACAAGTTCCAGACAATTTTATAACTGGACTGTTGGAAAGCCTGATTGAGAACTGACTATGAACAAAAGGTAACTAATAGATTGCAGGACGAATCATCCTAGAACTGGACAAAACACAAAGTTACTAATGCTTAGACTACATGATAAATCTGCCAAATTTTTACGAGTCAATTTTCAAGCATAGACACATTTTTGTAGAAGGCAGAATCATTCAACAAAACAAGCAGGAGTCTCAACACAACACTGACTGAACACTGACAAGAGACACTGACCTTCATTTCTACTAGAACCCTGTTCTATATTTTACCTGAGTCAGATACAACCAATTCATTTATGTTAGGTCATCAAAGCCACCAACTCTTTACTTAGCTACTTGAATATATTACCTTTAACTGATATTCAGATTCATCGTGACAGCATCCCTTCAATCCATACACAGCTCCTGAAATATAATCATACATTCCTACCTCCTCACTAGCAACCACTGACACTATTGTATCCTGGATGCCATACAGAATGGAAATCTTTCCACACAGATCAATATCACTGTGTTCAGCATTCTTTGAATGTTCCTCATCAGTGCAGAGAACAGACATCACTGTCTCCAAGTTCAGATTTAGGGTAAAAGTATTTGAAACTAGCCTTTGCCATCCTTAACTGGAGTCAAAGGCTTTATTTGCAGCTCTGTCTCAAGCAATCTCTCTAAAAATTTCTTTTTGCCAACAAAATCACCCTCCTCAATGCTACATGCACAAGAAATGAGAGGTGCAGTCGAATCCTTGGGGTTTGAAATATTTTCACTGTTTAGCCACCAATCACCATTGCAGACCAAATCGCTTTGCAAACTTTCTCTGCCATATGTACCATTAACATCCGCCTTGGTTTCCAACTCACTTAGTGCATTGCAAGTTGGACTTAACTTTGATTCTCTGTCAAAATAATCTGAGACAATACAATGTTCAGACTCTGAAGATTTCATGTCACTATCCCAGTGGGATGCTCTTATCGATTTACTTAATTTGCTATTAACAAAAGTCTCATCGGAAACATTTGCTTCTTCACAGCTAGATTGCTGGAGGATACCTCTGTTCTGTGGTTCTGCTTCCTCACAACAAACATTATTTCGAGAAGAATCAGTACTTCTTTTAGAAGAGGTCTTGTTTAAATATTTTGTTTTATTTAGTCTTGAAAGTTCAATATTTTCCGCACTCTGTCGCTCGTTTGCTTCTCGTGCTTTATGTTTTGAAGTTGCGCGATGTAATTCAAATTCCGGAAGAACTGAAGAACATGATTGTTCAGGTGCTCTTCGCGATTCCATTCGTGAGTCTTCTCTTGATTCCAAATGATGAACGGGTGGATAACATTCTCTTCTCGCACAATTCCACATGAAATTCCACATCACGGTCCCAAGATGACGACATTGTGGAATAGAAGAAGGCCCGATTTGGGGAATATGGAAGGGCCTCAGTAGCTTCTTGGTTGCATCCCTGTCGACTGAGCTGACCTCCTCGTTATAACCTTGACTATTACGCTTTACATCCAGGAATGCAACAGAAAATTGTTTCGTATTTAGTGGAAACATTTCTTATCAATGCCAGCAGCAATTTCTGCATGAAAAGTCCGCCATCTTGAACATGAGTATGCTACTTGTCAGCAATTAAAACCAAGCTGCGCATATTCAGCATGGAGCTCGGCCCAGTATTCTCCGGGGCAATCGATTTTGAAATGTTTTGAACCCCTCACTTGCGAGATAGAGGGTTTTCCTCCTCAGAAAATAGCACTAAAAATATGTTTGACGTGGCTTTAAGTAGTGCTGGAGCAACTATTGCCCTTGCTACATCATTTGATGAAAATCATCCACCAGAAAATATCATTGATGGGTAAGTATTTTACGATCGGTGAAGATCTTGCCAAACATTTCAAATTTCGAACAAGCAAAGTTAATTGAGGTTTTGATAAGGACAATTAAGATATTTCAAGACCACTTCCAATTTATCTGAAACTCAGTAATGCTATGCTTTTTGGAATTGCTAAACTGGTAGACCATGACCTAATCATTCTACATGTACTATCGTGAACATTTTTACGATAGTAGTTGTCATGGTAACCCGTGGCCCTCTTGAATGTGCATGATCTGTTTATTCTGAAAAAGCAAGATTTAAGAAAAGAAAGGTATGAAGAGTAACGCAATATTTGCAGATGCTTGCTTTTATCTGTACTTGGTAATGTCACACAAAAGTTGAAAACTATGTTAGCACGCTGCAAACTCAAACTCCAAAGGGAAACAGAAAATGGTTTAAGTTAGGTGATATTTAATGACAGGGTAAAAATTTCCACACAGCCCCATACTACATTATGCATTCAGTTCTTGGATAGAGAAAACAATGACTAAAACTATACACTGCCATTGGGAAAACAGATTTGTTTTACAACAGTATGGGGCTGTGTGGAAATTTTACCAATGACAGAAAAAGTTGGGGTCAAATCCAGGGAAAATTGGATCTTCTTTGAGTTAGTTTGGGCTTCAAATTAGCAGGGTTTTACTTTATTATAGTACATTTCAGTAATAAGTAAATGGAAAACTCTAAGGCAAAGGTTGATGAATGATACCTTTAAGATCATGAGCCGTCAATTGTTTATGGCTAAAAAGCTTGTTTAGAATCAACTCAAGTTCCCATCTAGAAGTCTTACAGCCAAAGTGAGAGGTCATGTGAAGCAGCTTAAATTATATATAGTCACGCTCTTGCATTTTCAAACAAGGGTCTTTGTAATCTGCGAGTCTCAAATTTTACCATCTGTGACTCCTATGGCTGCATCCTGATCAGCCAAAATAGAACTAATTGTCTTTTTATTTTGCTCCATAGAAGCCTTGATACTTTCTGGCCAACAACTGGAATGTTTCCTCAAGAATTCATCATCACCTTTAGTGCATTAATGAGCATTGGAAATATAAAATTCCTATCTTCAAATGGTGAGGATGATGGTGGAAAATCTTGAAATTGTGTTTAGTGTAATGTAACATGGGCATTATCAATTTAATGGTTTTTGAGTTTTTTTTTTTTCATAACAAAATATATCTATGTTAGCGAGTGGAATGGTATGTTTCTTGCACCAATCAGATCCCTGCATTAGGGTATGTAATGTATCTCACATCAATCAGATTGCTGCATTGGGGTATATATCTTACACCAATCATATCACAACATTTTGATATCTTGTACCAATCATAGCTTTTCTTGCAAATGATGTCATGGAATTAGGGGGCTGTGCACAAATAATGACATTAATCAAATATTTTGGGCTCATTTGATAAGGGCAATGGTTTGTGGCCTTCGTAAGATCCTCATCAAAAGGTCAAGACGTCTTGTGATATGAAAGATTTCCATTTAACTTTTTGCATCATTTTTTTCAAGTTAAAAGGTGTCTTTTCCGCTCCTTTACTTACAATGCACATGCCAAACACGTACCATGAAAACAACATCCAAAATCTAATCAGAACATGCCCAATCATTGCTCTACATGAACAGTAGGCAATGTTTCACATGCTTGAATTGTACCACCCATCAAATTCCATTTTGCCACATTAGACTTTGCTCAATCTTGTGTCATTTCCATGTAAATAACCTGCATTTCATTATTTATAGTAACAGCATTGTCCAACAGAGTTTCAGTTTGCTTTTTGCAGTAAAATTACATAGAATGATATTTTTACAGCAACTAACTTTAGACAAATAATTTTGATATTCTTTCTAGTAGTGGAACAGTAGAAAGCATAGTCCCTTTCGCAACCATTATTTGGTCTCTTGCCATGCAACGCGCTCTCTCTTCAATGAAGAATAGCTCGTATTGTGTGACGAAATCAAACAATGGGTGTTAAGGAGACAACAGTATAAGCATGGCACCACTGCATTCTATTTTTGCTTAGAAGTATTATACCATAGAAACAACAGACCAAAAACTACCTGTGTGAGTTCAGGTAAATTAGATTATTTTTTCTTTCTCTTATGATGAAGTAATGCAATATATTTTTGTTCTTTTGAAAGTTATGCTCTTTTCCTGTCACAAAAATGAAAACATTAGGTATGCAAAGTGTCCCATCTCAACCCACCCTGCCTAAAAAATAACTCTTGCATGCTATGCATGCCTGTGTTTTATCACAGGGGCTACATCGTTGTTTTTGTGCCACATTGTGAAAAATTAGACGTAATTTTTTTTTTTTAATGTGATATAAAAAATTGAGAAAAGACTTCGTGAGGAGTCAGGTACATGTGGGTTACCAGCTCATTAGAGACCAGGAGCTTCAAGGTTTTGTAGCATATATGAATTTTTATTTGCAGTTAAAAGCCTCTGCATTGAGAAAAGCACAAAAACAGAACCAGTAGACTTTGAACCTCTTGTGGACAAAGGTAAAAAGAAGCCATAGATATGTTATAGAAAATGTTGTTGTTCATCCTGGTTAATTAGAGGTAAATGGTTTTTTTTAAAAGCATTTGTCTCACAATGTAAAGTAAGGCTACCATTTATGATACAATTGATAGCCTGACTTTACTTTGAAAATTTAATTAGGAAAAAATGATGAACATGATAACAAAATAATTAAAACAAGTTTAAGCAAGGACATTCAGTCAAATAATCCTCTGATTTTGATCACTGACAGCACAGTACAATGCACATTGACATGGCCCAGGCCTGACTGATTGCAGAGTGTGGTTGACTGTAGAATTTAAGACTGACAAATTCAATGAAACATACATGCAATTTATTAATAATGTGTAATTGTTATCTGTGACAGAGTATGAACATTTAGAGGGTCAGATGCAGAGAGATGAGATCAAGGTAAGTATTTAGAATTCAGCAAATTGAATCCTGCTTCAATGGTATTTCAGGTCTAAAATATATGTATCGGGCATTATGAACCATGTGTGTGTTCTGATGGAAAGACATGCACTTTCAGTTGAATGCCATGGGTTCCTCGGGGGGGGAGAGTTGTTGAAACTTAGAATTGATCAGTGTATAAAAATACAAATATTCAGTCCTAATTGTGAATGTAGGGCTCTTACATTTTGATATTATTTGTATGTTTTTTCCTTTGTAGATTCCTGTTACATCAGCATGTCATCTAAGATTTCTTATCAAAAGTGGATTTGATCATTTTGTTTCCATTCATAATGTCAGTGTTGATGGCACAGCTGTGCACTGAACTTCAGTCTCCACATTCACACAAGTTGTGAATAGAAGTAAATACATGTACATGAATGAAGCAAATAATTATAGTTATCTCTTAGCAGAAGGGTGTTGACTTCTGGTTACAGTTCTATATGGGTGTAATGTAAAACCTTGTGGTTGTTGTCACTGTCCTCTGGGAAAACTTGGTTTAACACTAAGTACTAAGTGTAGGTCCCCTCTCAAACATCCCCCCCCCCTACTTGACAAAAATGAAAGTTTCTTCAATTTTCTATTATTATCATTGTAAACTTTTAGTATGTTACATTTTCCCCATGTGTAGAGACATGATTAAGTTATTAGACAGTGTTACAGCAATTCAGGTATTTAGAGGGTAAAAAAAACAGACCAAGAAAAAAAGGCGAAAAGAGAAAGCAAAATAATAAACCCTTTTCTTGGACAACATAGTTGTAATAATTGTGTCCACTTTAGGGAAAAGGGAATACCTTTGTATATTTATTTATTATTAAAGAGAAGGTTGAAGCTAAGAGAACTGTCACTATGGGAAATAGACTATTAACAGTCCCGCAGCAATGGGCCAAACTCTGAAAGTCAGTTATTTTCTGGTTATCAAAGGAGTTGCTTAAAAGTTCCGCACTCTACCAGGAATGTAACAGCAAGTCTATTCGTCGTTCTAAAAGCACCGCGCGAAGTGCATTCCTCGTTCTAAAAGCTCCGCGCGAAGGGCACAATCAAAAAGAGTATTCCTCGTTCTACAAAAAAAAACACTCCACGAAGTGCTCAAAGAACAAAAATTTCCTCGTTCTAAAAGCATCGCGCTGGAGGGCCGGGAGGAATAAATTGATTTAATTCCAACCTTTTTTGGAGGCATTCGTAAAAAATTTCATTTTAAAAAGAAAATTTGTCACCTACAATTTGTTATAAATTAAAACTTCTATGCACATGTAAGATTAATGATGGATTTATTGGGATGAAAACGCAACTTTGTTCAAGGAAAAGGATGGACAGTTTTATTGTTATCAAATAACAACCAAAAGTAATGTGAACTCTGTTTCAATTGAACGCAAGACTAAAGAGCGGACTAAAACGACGCACGTGTCGGAACATCGAATACACGCAACGTGAGCGGAGAAAAAGAAGAAAAAAGGAGTTCTAATATTGTTGTCCAAGAATACCTTAGTCTTCCACCTTGAGGGTGCCTTGTGTACATAAAGATTGAAGTTCAGTGCCTTTAGTAGCTTTTTGGCTACAAAGATTAACAACGAACAACGGCCATACCAAACAATCTTTTTAAGCGGCTGTGAGTATATGAAAGTCATATATTTGAACTGTGGATAAAGACGTGGATACGAAAGCGATCTTCACAATAATGAACACTACTTAAGCAGTAGTGAAAAGAAGGCCAGAAAAACATTCAGGCCTGTACGAGATTTGAACCCATGACCTCCGCGATACCGGTGCAGCGCCAGCGCAGTTCAAATATATGACTTTCATATACTCACAGCCGTTTATTCACTACTTCACGGGTTTATTTGGAACCAACACAGTGACCGGCTCCCAGTTCGCTTGTTAGCTCAGTTGGTAGAGCACTGCAGCGGTATCGCAAGTATCATCACGCCTTTTTTTACATTTGTAACTCAGTCTACGGTAGTGAAGCAATTTTATTCTAACCTTCCCCCATAAAGTGTAAAGTAAAGTAAAGTGTGCCTTGTGTATCAAATGCATCAATTCGGTACCTCCAGAGTCATAAGTCGGGTTTTTGGGGCTACAAAGTAATCAAATAATGAACGAGTTATGCCAGGTCATTTTATCGAGAATCAGCATTTAATTAAGTGTAGTTTCCTAAAATCGTATGGAAAGTTTAAAATATGCTTCATTTGTGCTACATATACGGATTTATTATTCTTAATTACTGATTAAATTCCGAGGGTGTAACTCAATTAATTCAAAAGAAAGTATCCAAGCAGATTACAGAGATGGTTCACGAATTGTATATAATAATTGTATGTAATAATGTATTAACAAAACTTTCCGAAATGTGCTTTAATGATAGTACCGATATAAAGTTATCGTTCCTAATCACTTACCAAATTCCGAGATTGTAACTCAATGAATTCAACAGAAAATATCCAGGACGTTTTCAGAGAGGGTGAAAAGCTGTATCCTGCCACCAAAGATACCCTTTGTTGGCCATAACTAGTCGGCGCAAGGAGTGTCCAAAGACCTCGACAAGGTTTCAGTAGTGAAGTCCTGGACACCACCGAGCCGTGTTTCCCAGCTGAATGTTTTTCTGAGAACGTTATGTTACTACAGAAAGTTCATACCAGATTTTGCTACATTTGAAACCCCTCTCTTCCAGCTTTAGAAGAAGGGACGTAATTTCTGTGGTCCACTGACTGTCAAAACTTTTTACGATACTCTGAAAAAAGTCCTCTGTGAAGGTCCAGTACTAGCATTCCCAAGATTTGACCTTCCATTCATACTATTAACAGACCCTAGTACAACTTGTGTCGCTGCTGTGTTGTCTTAATTGCAAAAGGACGAGCCATATCCGCTGGCGAATTTGGACTGGGGGTCCAAATCCGCCCTACATCGGAATAACCGACTGATTACTCTTCTTTTGTCAAGAACAGTGTGAAGGGACGGGTGGAGGGAAATCGGGAGACCAACCTCCGAAGGATGTCTACGATACACATTGCGACGCTGGTATCGATATCTCTGGAAGGCTTCCTTATCAAATATGGGTATTACGTCCAAGCGTGAGCTGCATGAGGCAGTAAACATCAACAAACCCGTAAAATGAATTCGGAATTAATTAGAAAATAAATTACGAAAGAACTGTTCAAATGTGTCCTTTAAAAGAAAATTACGTGGTATCTGCGATACAAGATTAGGTGTTTTTCTTTCTCCTGTGTATATCTGGAGCGGCTTGAATAGTAATACACCATTGTGAATAATGCCCTAAGGTAAGCTTCTACTCTTTTATTGCAGATATTGTATAGAGTGTTTTACAAAATTTTAAATACAGCTTAGTGTGTTTCGATAATGTACAGAAATAAACGCTCATCCTTGCTCTAGCGACATTTCCACTTCGAAATAAGCGGTTCATTTCATCATAGCAAAGGTCTGTCTATCAGCCACAACCCCTCTGAATAGCGCTCTCTGTTTCTTGTACGAGTCGAAAATATTGGGAAAATAACTTAATTAATTTAATTTTAGAATCACTCTATTGGAACGGTTCTCACCGTTTATGAAAAAGCACTTAACAGTAACAACAAGAAAGTTAGAGTAAACATACCAATAGCGATGCACTTTTTTTTTGTTTTCTGATACCAATGCCCCGAAATTTAAGGAATTTACGACCTATGTAACACCACATTACAAGACATGTCACCAATCTCGTCGATAAAGGACACGCTACTGAAAGGTCCTTGACTAAATCAATACTAAACTACTAAATATCTTACCAGGACTATATCACCAGCGGGGGACGCTTCAATCGCATGATTGCTAACAACTAGTCGTATTGTTTCACCAGTAAGTAGTGGCAAACAAATTGCCCAGTACAGAAATCTAAATAGACGAGCTGCTTTCTCATTTATAACCTCCTTTTTTAAAAATCCGGAGTTTATCAGCTAAATCGAGTTATTTATCAACTGCGACTTAAGAAAAAACTGACTTAAAGGTGCCTCATTAAGGAAACAGCTTTGGTTAATTATAACACAATAAGACCCTTAAATTATCACCGTTATCACCAGTACACATTTTCTTCTAATACTTGATACACTACAAAGTGCTTGGTTCCTAAGCCATATTCAAAATGACACTGTCTAACGACGGTCGCTGGCCCACTTTCCTAATCTCTTTGCCACGGCGTTACTTAGAGGTCGTGCACTTGGTTCGGCATCTGCACCTCCGAGATCTTCAACCTTGGAGTATTTGGTCGTGTCATAAGATCCCATGTCGAGCAGCTGTAGATATGTCTAAAGGGGAAAGCAATAAAAGAGGGTTTTCATGATCGTCACAATATTCTCTAACTTCAAGTCAAGAAGAAAATTGTAATGACTACTTCAAAGCACAGAAATGATCCTCGCTTTAAAGGCACAGAGTAATGTGTTTTCTTAGGCAGGTTGGTTGGTAAGGTGGAAGTTATGAATGTAGATGGGTAATTTGGTATTTTCAACTGAGTTGATAATGTAAATTGGCCACCGTAAAGAGTCTAAAAGCTGACGTTTCGAGCGTTAGAACTTTGCCACTCGCTTTGACGCTCTAAACGTCAGCTTTTAAACTCTTAAAGGTGGCCAATTAACGTTATCAACTCAGTTGAAAATACCAAATTACCCCGTTATACTCTCCCATCAACCTTTACTATGAATGTAAATTCTCAGGCAGTTTGGAAGGGAAGTAGCTGGAAGGGCGGAAGGAATGGTGACATATAGATGGGTTCGTGGGCATGGGACATCTTGGCGCGTTTTAAGTTTAAATTTGTTAAAACTTGAAAAACATCGATAAGCTGGAGCAAATAGTAAGAAACTTAACTACAAGCAGAAGCCGTCAAAATGAAAGCTCAAGGCACTGAAATTCCCGCAAGCGGCCCCAGCCATAGTTAGAAGAAACCAATACAATCCTAAATCAATTAAATCAATTCCATTAATCTACTGAAACCAACTTTGAAAGAGCAATGGTCTATGAAGTAATTTTAGAGGAATAAATAATCTTAGAGGCCGTCAAGGACTCGTTCAAATTGTGCTACAAACCTCTTCACGAAGGTAGGTATCCATTCTTCTTCGAAGGCTTTCAAAGGGAGGACGAAAGTCGGGGTCAAAATTCCAGCACCTTTCCATTATAGCATACCTGGAATAAAGGAATGATGGTCAATACTGGACTGTGGTTTATGTAATATGTGATAAAAATCAACCAATACAGAAATCTTAGGAGAGCCCTGGGAAAATAATGGCTAAAATAATAAGAAATGTCTGGCTGTAATAGCTGAAAATTCATCTTTTCAATATTCTTGAGTGAAAAGACAACTTTTAAGAGGCGATCTCTGTAAGAGCGGTCCAGGGCATTTCGCATCGGAAAAAAGGTTTCCCTCAAACTTTGCCCAATAAACTATTTTTGGTAACAAGTAAATAAAACCACATTAGTTTCTGGAAATACCTCAAAATAAAATTTTTAGAGCTATCAAAAGTCAAAGCTGCAAAAGGCCCTTTTTTGACCTCTTGCGACATCGAAAATTTCAAAAGTTGAATAGCCCGGTCCTCGTATCACACCGCATACAACAAAAAAAATTGTATTCTTAAAGTGTGTGATATATAAGGTGTATAAAATGCATTTCAATTTTGATATTCGTTTATTCAGAGGCTCGTCATAATTTATTTAAAAACACTCGTTGGACAGCTTTCTGAAATTGATTAAAAGTACTCTTTCTTTCTCGATTGATATTGCTCAAGTCCAGACCAGACCATTAAAAACTCCGCTTGATTTCTGCTAATAAGATGTTTGGCTGCAGAAAAATATAAAAACATCTTGCACTTATTGATTTTCTTCGCCGAGGTGACTTCGAACTTTTAGCGATATTGCAAGCGTTACAGCCATTATGCAAATTAGTTTATTGAGCAAACTCCGACCGTTTTATGTGAGTAGCTCAATAAATCTTAGATTTTAACCATTTTAAGTAGAAAATATAGTAGGACAGAGCTTTTGCAAAATTTGACAAATATTATTATCTCGTGACGAAAGACGTCAACAACAACGTATCGAATATCATAATTTGATTAGCGCTCGCAAACCCTTTTTAAAAATTTGGCTTCTGTTATTCATATTTGAGTTCTGATGGCTTACGCTATTCAAACCTGTATGAACATTTCAAAACCAAACTACAGGATTCTATTTAGTGTAACCGGCGATAACAGCACACACTGAAATACACCGTGACCACTGTCACATAATTCAATTGTACATGTGTAATTATCCTCAATTGCTTCTCCCTTCTTAATAAAGCAGCGATAACATCGCCTTTTGGATCCGAATTCTGGTCGGCAGGAATAAGAGAAATTTTGTCTGCACACTTGTCTTTATGAAAGTTTCCATTCAGAACTCTAGGGAGTTCTTGTGGAAAAGGACCCCGCGATTTTTGAGGAAATGAATTATTACGGTATGTGTGACCTCATTTTTCCAACAATTAGCTATATCTGTACTGTAAAGTGCGTAATTGTATTAGCTGTAATTCATATGTCTCTTTCGGTACTGGTTTGCTTGGGATTGATAACACTAAATTCTTGAAGCGGTATTCGCCAAAAGAAGTCCTGTTTTCAGTCGCGTTCTTCAGAAACTTCGTTCGAAGACTCACGAGGAGTTTCCGGTTTGTTTAACTTGCCTCAGTGTACTGACTCAATAAAGAGTCATCTCTGCTTAATCCATTTGTCAAAAGAGAGTTTCACAGAAGGAGAGCTTATCTTTGCAAGGGCTGGCCTGTTCGATGTAGAAGACTCAGTTATGGCATAGGCACACTTATGGGAAGTTCTGGCGCCAAAGTTCAGCCTGTCAGTATCCGACACACCCTGGTAGCGATTCCAAAGGTCTAAATAGCCGGTATTCTGTCAATTTGCAAAAGTCAAAGGCCATTTCTAAGATGTATGGCGTTATATAGAGGTTTACAGCTGAGGGAGCGGATGGTTTCAAGGATTTTCTTCAAATTATAGATGAATTGGAAAGCGTGGGAGCAGAAAAGGACTAGTGTAAAGAAGTTCGCAAGTTGTATTTGAAGACTACATACCGTAATCACTGCGAAGAGGTTGATAGCAAATGTGCCGATCACTGTAGGGTCTTTGCACTGAGCCATGCTGGTGACACTGAAGTTCAGAAAGTATGCAGTCACAGTCACAACGTGAAGTGTGAGGATTGTGAGATGCTGAAGAGTGTTCTTGAAGAAGTAAAAGGCGCTATTTCTGAGTATACAATGCAATTAGGAAGGTTTCAAGCGGAAGACTACCTGTATGAAGCAAAAAATGCTGCCGCTAAGATCTTTGAATGGAGAGGGTATATCCTGAGAGCAGAAACCAGGATCAGTACGAGCGGCAAATTGTCGATACTTTGGAGGGAGATGAAGCATTTATAATAGTTGACTGGACAATGAAGTTCATAGCGATGAAGTTCCGGGAAAAGCAAGCAGAATGGTTTCCCAAGCGGGAAATCAATTGGCATGTGAGTAGCGTTGTTGTAAGACAGGAGGAAAGCCTGGAAGTAACCTGATAAGTAGAACTTCTTAACAGCTGTAAAAAAGACTGGTTTTCAGTGCTGTCAGTCCTAGAAAATCTCTTTGTCACCATAAAGTTACGGATGAAGCAGGTTGCTATCACAACAGTAAGCTAGTATCATCTCTACGAGGGCTCGGACATCAAGATTGCCACTTTCAGCAACTTACACAAGAGGGCCTGCGCGTTTGGAGAGCGTTTAATGTTGGGTCTGGAAAGTTTATTCGGTGAAATTAAAATTGCAATTTTTCCACAGAAAAAATGACGGATCTGGTGAAGGAGATTCCATTTTTCCCCACTACTGCTCGACGAACTGCATCAGCAGGAGAAAGCAATGATGGCAACGACGGTAGTTCCTATCAATGCCCTGAAGCTGGTTGCGATGAAGATTTTAAGACGCAGGCCGACCTTGACTTCCATATGAATTAGCTAGTTCATCATGTAAGTCCTGTGCCTGCGAGCATGACTTAAAGTCTTTATGACAAAGTGAAGAGGTAGTGGGTTCATTAATTTCAGTCATTGTCATTAGAGGGTGAAAGTTCGACTGAACTGGTTGCAGTGGCCACAGAACCCTTGACAAGTACATCAAAGCTTCCCATGGGATGGACTCTTCATAAGAGAGGTGCAACTGAACGGCTTTCGCAAAACGTCAGGCAGTACTTGAAACAGAAATTTAATATCGGATGAGAAACTGGCAGAAACCAAACCCAGAGAAAGTAGCAAAGGATATGCGAACTGCTTGCACAATAGATGGAGAGAGAATGTTCGATAGAACAGAGTGGTTATCCAACATACAGATTCAGGGTTTCTTCTCGAGATTGTGCCTTAAACAGCGATCAAAAATACAACAAGAGTCGGATGATGCCACCGACGCAGACGACCACTTGATAGAAGCATCCGCGTCTGATGTAGACGAAGGGTGTTTGAGAGAGGCGAGGAACACAGTAATGGATGAGATAGATTGAAACATCCAATCGTGTTTGATATCTATGATGTGTTCTCGTTGGCAAGAGAAGCAAGGTTGTTTAGTCTCAAAGTCAAGATGCTAAGAGACATACGCGAACATTTTGAGCTCGCGTTCAAAATGCAAGATAAAAATGCAGCACCTCTTGCAAAAATGGAGGAAATTATTTCGGAGTGCAGGTGTTATGCAATCTAGTTATGACGTCCACCCGTTATGCGAATGCGATATCTTTTTTTACAAGAACTCTTCAAACTTATGAACAGAGACTGTTATGCAGACAGATGTGACGCTCAAATATAATTTTTTTTCAGCTAGAAATCCGAGAAATCGCTGCTTTATTTAGACGTGAGAAGTATTCAGGACAATCACACGATGGAATTACGTGACAGAGTCACTGGTCACGGTGAATTTAGTGTGTGCTGTTATCGCCAGTTACACTAAGTAGAATCCTGTAGTTTAATTTTGAAATGTTCATACAGGTTTGAATAGGGTAAGCCATCAGAACTCAAATATGAAATAACAGAAGCTAAATTTTTAAAAAGGAATTTGCGAGTGCTAATCAAATTATGATATTCGATACGCTGTTGTTGACGTCTTTCGCTTTTTATTGAGCTACTCACATAAAACGGTCGGAGTTTGCTCAATGAACTAATTTGCATAATGGCTATAACGCTTGCAATATCGCTAAAAGTTCGAAGTCACCTCGGCGAAGAAAATCAATAAATGCAAGATGTTTTTATATTTTTCTGCAGCCAAACATCTTATTGGCAGAGATCAAGCGGAGTTTTTAATGGTCTGGTCTGGACTTGAGCGATATCAATCGAGAAAGAAAGAGTACTTTTAACCAATTTGAGAAAGCTGTCCAACGAGTGTTTTTAAATAAATTATGACGAGCCTCTGAATAAACGAATATCAAAATTGAAATGCATTTTATACACCTTATATATCACACACTTTTTAAGCAAATGAAGATCATCACAGTATATACTCAACTTAAGCAGTTGAGAAATAAGGCCTGAAAAAAATTCAGGCCTGAACGGGAATCGAACCCATGACCTCTGCGAATACCGGTGCAGCGCTCTAACCAACTGAGCTATCAAGCCAACTGGGAGCTGGTCAATTGTGAGTTCGTTATATACCCGTGGATGGATATATGGAGAAAATGTTTTCCTTCGGGATTGGGGGGATTGGGTGATTTAAAATGGAACATGGCAACTTGAAAGGCAAGACTCACAGTTTATCATCAACATGATCGGGCTTTGGAAGTTTGTATCCATGTGTGACTCGTGCAACAACATTCCCTTCTGACCATCCCTCATATGGAATTCCTCCTGCGAAGAAATAAACAAATTGTGGCCGTGATACACCCAAATATTTCGTTTGAAATCGTTGAGATTTAAATCAGAGAGATCCACTTCTAGTGCTTGACCGCATTCGAAACATGATGTTTCCTAGCCTGATGTTTTCTGTAATTGATTACCGCTTTTCTGCCAAGTAATTTGAAAGGTTTTTCGTCATTTTAAGTAGAACACAAAATGCTACTCGTCTTAAGTGATAGTCAGGGCGAGGAAAGTCCTGAAACAACGGTTCTCAGTTACAGAGAATGAAACTTCGACAAGCTGAGCAAAATTCATCATTAGCGTAAACTTTGGCACATCATCAAACTAACGTCTGCCAATTGGGTCCTAAAGGCATTGACATTGCTGACGAGTTCCAGAAACGATACCTACAACATTTCCACACATGGGAAGTATAAATATTTGTTTGACTTACCAAGGGTAACTATCTCATACAGAACGATTCCGTAAGACCACCTGAAAAAATTTCGAAAAAGTATTGCCGAGATATTCTCTAAGTGAGCTTGTAAAGACAAAAACCAAAGAGATGGCCTGCTCAGTGCAAAAATATACATCATACATACACGTCACTCAAGGTGGAAAGTCCAGCGAAATTTCCCAACAAAATCTCTGGTGCAGTCCATTTTATTGGCAAACGGCCCTGCAACGACAGTTTTTAAAAATAAGTGTTTTAATACTGGTGAGTTAACAGAGGACATGCATGTAACGTAAGGTTGTTGATGCACCTCTTCCGAGACTTTATGGAGTGTCAAAATTTAGCAAATGTCATAAATTTAGATGATAAAGTCAACTAACTCAATTGTACTCTATGGCATGGCAGAACGTGGAGCTATCTTCAGTTAGCAGTCAAGGTGAATTTTAAGCAGAGTTAGGGCTAACCTTAGGAATCTGTTTTCAAGTGCCACTGCAAAAAAGATAAAGCAAAGACGATCTTCTACCTTTTTGGCATTTCCATGACCATATTTGAAGTTTTGATATGCCATGCCAAAGTCGGTCACTTTGCACACATAGTTGTTATCAAGGAGGACGTTTCGAGCTGCCAGGTCACGATGGATTATCTACCGAAAGACAAAGATCCAAAATGTACACTGGCTAACAAATGTATGTCTTTTGTGAGACCTACCATGATCAGAGGGAAGATTATACAGACGTTTGCATGGGCTGTAAGACCTCTTGTTCCTAAGGTGTTCATTACAGACCAAACATGTACCAAAATGACTGCAACATTAGGTGACCCACTGACAACACCAAAGAAACTCTTGAGAAACATTAAGAATATGAAACCTGCTTCCGAAAAGATTCATATAATTTAGATATATCTATATTCAAGCAACTCAAAAGGTATAACAATCCCTTACAGATATTTCTGCGGTAAAATTGAATGTAGAAGCATTTTAGTTACTTACCCCCCTTGATCCAAGGAATACCATACCGGCGGCGATTTGTTTGGCAAATAGCACAAGGTCATAGTTATTCAAATCTTGAGCCCTTCCTTCTCCAAGATAATATCGATCATTAACTCCTCGGCATTTTCTCATGTAACCAAGCAGGTCACCACATGGCAAATGTTCCATGATAAGGATCGGATGAACTTAAAATAACGAAAAGAAGGAACGAATTAGTAAAAGAAAACAAACAAACAAACAGTTGAAATATTATTGCAAATAACAAGAATGACGCCTTAAACTTAGTATGTACCTTGTCTAGTGACGCAGCCAATGAACTTTACTATGTTTAGCTGATTGCTGTCACCGAGAATTTTTCCCAACTCGATTTCTCTCATCAAACATTTTCTTCCTTCCTCCCCAGCGGTGGCTACAATAAAAAGGAAATACTTTATAACCGGGGAAAAAATTGCTTATTGACGAATTTTCTCGTGCTTAAGAAGCGAAAATTTCGGGTGAGGATTTAGACCTCGCATCTTAAGAGGTCTTTGAAGCCCAGTTGGTGGAGCTCACAATTACAAAAATGGAACCGGTCGGCGAGCGAATCCTTTCGAGGAATTCATATTTTCTTTGGTTCACGATTGCGCCACATGAATGCTATCTTAAAATTTTTTATTGCTATTGATGCCTCTATTGTTTAATTGTTGCTTTTGTTATACAAAATAACTTTGCATGAATCTCTCAGAGCGCCTTAGTCGACCTGAGATAAATGATCACTGGAAAGTGCAAATCACCCTTGGCAAGAAACTCTAAGTACCCATCCATGTGCTTTGAGGAGAGATAGTTGAATGGATCTTACGTGTAAAGCATTTAGCAGCAACTGTGCGATTTCCAGGTCTCCCATTTGGAGAACTAAGAAGAGCTCTCCACACTGCTCCAAATGCCCCTCGCCCAATGACATCTTGAAGCAGGATACGGTTCACTTCAATCTCCCATTCATCCACTTCTACATTCAACAGCTCCATCTCTACTGTTTCCCCTTGATCAGGACTAAATTTTATGAAAATCATACAATTTCTATTGATAAATCAAAGTGCACGCAATCAAGGAAAAAGAAGTTACGCAAAAGTTTTGAGTCTCTAAATTGTTTGACTGACTTCTTCAATTTCTAGAGATAAAAAAAAAACATTTTCTTGTGCAGAAAAACTAAAATTGTAGAACTACTCGTTTACGCAGACTACCATTCTAGTTCACTTTCCAAATGGAATGGTTGACATGACGGTAAGATTTAAACCCAACTTCAATTTTAAACAAAAAAAAATTCAATTTAGTGAATAAAAGGCAAACTAATTGACTTACAGAGCCGTAGCAGCCGCTGTAGGTCCAAATAGTAAATCAAAGGAAGAAATAGAGAAGGACAATAAGTTCTGCCTTAACTTGAATATTTAAATAAAAATGTCATGCACTTTGATCAGTGGTTAATAAAAGATTATAAATCAGATAAGATGGCAAGACAAGAAACAGTAGAAACATGCCAATAGTGCCTCAAAGGTTTACTTTTTCCTGCAAACCGAGATGATATTAATACCTACCTACTAGCGAACTTGAGGAGAACGATTGGAAGTAAAAGTAAACGTAAACTGGTTAAATTTTTTCTTCTCACACAACGTAATATTCTCTGGAAAAATTACCCAAAACAAAATATGAAGAATGAGCTTTACCTGTCCTTCGACGTTTCCAAAAAAAGCAGCCTATGAGCAAAATAACAATGACAGCAGCCATTGATCCAACAATATAATACCACACCAGGAATGAACTCACAGCTGTTGGTGTAAGTTAAACGAATGGTTCTTAGCCAAAAGAAAAAGGTAGTACATGTGGTAATAAGGAAAAGGTTGTTAACCAGTATTAGCCAGCCCCACTGGATACTATTTTTCCCCGGAGCTTCGCTGGCTCATTAGAAATGACTACTACTTTATGGAAGCGATTCATAGAAAGATAAATCAAAACTATATGGAAAAGACCTAACTAGAATCTTGTTTTGGATTGAGGAATTACCTGCCCTTCTGTTAAATGGATGTAGAGCAATTCCTTTTGCCAAAAAGGAAACAAACAATAATGATGATAATTATTTGGGTATCTAAAGGGAGGTTCTACAGAATCTAAAAGGCCAAAGAACCCATATTTTAATATCAGACTTACACCTAACATACACACACAAGCACACGCACAAAAAAAACAAAAGCAAAAAACAGCCAATAGCATGTTTAAAGTTTCTGGTTCCATTTGGTCGAATGATTTAATGCTATTAAATTTTAGATTGTTTCTACGCTACAAGAATGCAAGCTTACGGTTGACTTTTATCATCACAATAGAGCGGGCCACATTTCCTAGTCTGTTACGAGCTTCGCAGGAATATTCACCACTGTCCTCTTCCACAACCTTCGCAATAACCAGATAACTTGTTGTCTCACCCAATTGCTTATCAATGACTGCCCTTTCTTTTATTGGGTCTCCATCTTTTTTCCAAGTGATATTTACTGTTACTTCGTTGACACTGCAAGTTAACCGAAGCTTATCACCTTGAGTGAGCGTTGGGTATGGTTTTGGACTCACTTTGGCGGTGAGTTTTTCTGTGTTGAGGGAAACAGATAATGTATACATAGCTTGGTTTTCATATTGAAAAAAAGACTTCACTCAAGAGACCTTGGTAAGGTAATTACCATGGAAACTTCGTGATCCGAAATCAACCCTCTTAATAGTACATGCAGGATAGAACGTGCCAATTTAAGTGAAACTTGGCTTTAAAGGGATTTCAAAAGGGGTTTGAAATACTTGTCCAAAATATTTCTGAAGATTTGCCAAAGGTTGGACTTCCTCCAACCGAATCTCCAAGATGCTTCTTCGTAAACCGCGACCCAGCCTTTTGTTTTTTATTATAAAGACATATTGCCCCATGCAAATCTACAAATAATTGCATTTAACAAAATCTTTGAGATTAAAATAATCAGAGTGACCGTAACAAAATGTCGCAAAGTGATTATATGGAAGAGTCATCTTAAACAACTAATAAATGGTGCATGCGCAACGATTATCTTTCCCACAATTCGTTACGTTATTTTCCTTGGTACATTACACTCCGTTTGTATTTGCACTATTTGACTCAATTGTCCTGAAGAAATTCCAGGGGTATCGAGACTCCATCTCATTCTTAAAAAGCTGTCAGTTCTTTTTGGGCAACCTTTAACCTCTAGCCACCAAAAAAAAAACAGCCGATAGTATGTTTAAAGTTTCTGGTTCCATTTAGTCGAATGATTTATTGCTGCTAAATTCTAGAATGTTTCTACGCTACAACAATGACAGCTTACGGTTGACTTTTATCATCACAATGGAGCGGGACACATTTCCTTGTCTGTTACGAGCTTCACAGGAATATTCACCACTGTCCCCTTCCACAACCTTTGCAATAACCAGATAACTTGTTGTCTCGTTCAATTGCGTATCAATGACTGCTCTTTCTTTTATTGGGTCTCCATCTTTTTTCCAAGTGATATGTACTGTTACTTGGTTGACACTGCAAGTTAACCGCAGCTTATCACCTTCAGTGAGTGTTGGGTATGGTTTTGGACTCACTTTGGCGGTGGGTTTTCCTGTGTTGAGGGTAAGAGATAATGTATACATAACTTGGTTTTCATATAAAAAAAACTTCACTCAAGATGCTTTAGTAAGGTAATTATCATAGAAACTTAGTGATCCGAAATCAGCCCTCCAAATGGTACATACGGAATAGAACGTGCCAATTTGAGTGACACTTGGCTTTAAAAGCATTTCAAAAGGGGTTTGAAATACTTTTCCAAAATACTTCTGAAGATTTGCTAAAGGTTGGACCCCATCCAACCGAATTTCCAAGATACTTTTTCGTAAACCGAGACCCACCCCTTTGTTTTTATTGTAAAGACATATTGCCCCATGCAAATCTACAAATCATTGCATTAATCAAAACCTTTGTGATCAAAATGATCAGAGTGACCAGAGGACCATAACAAAATGTCGCAAAGTGATTATATGGAAGAGTCATCTTAAACAACTGAGAAATGGTGCATGCCCAACGATTGTCTTTTCTACTATTCGTTACGGTATTTTCCTATGTTCATTAGACTCCGTTTGCATTTGCACTCTTTGACTCAATTGTCCTGAAGAAATTCCGGGGGTATCGAGACTCCATCTCATTCTTAACAAGCTGTCAGTTCTTTTTGGGCAACCTTTAACCTCTAGCCACCAAAACAAAAACAGCCGATAGCATGTTTAAAGTTTCTGGTTCCGTTTAGTCGAATGATTTATTGCTGTTAAATTCTAGAATGTTTCTACGCTACAATAATGACAGCTTACGGTTGACTTTTATCATCACAATGGAGCGGGCCACATTTCCTAGTCCGTTACCAGCTTCACAGGAATATTCACCACTGTCCCCTTCCACAACCTTTGTAATAACCAGATAACTTGTTGTCTCATCCAATTGCGTATCAATGACTGCTCTTTCTTTTATTGGGTCTCCATCTTTTTTCCAAGTGATATGTACTGTTACTTGGTTGACACTGCAAGTTAACCGCAGCTTATCACCTTCAGTGAGCGTTGGGTATGGTTTTGGACTCACTTTGGCGGTGGGTTTTTCTGTGTTGAGGGAAAGAGATAATGTATACATAACTTGATTTTCATATAAAAAAAAACTTCACTCACGATACTTTAGTAAGGTAATTATCATAGAAACTTAGCGATCCGAAATCAACCCTCCAAATGGTACATACGGGGTATAACTTGTCAATTTGAGTGAAACTTGGCTTCCAAGGCATTTCAAAAGGGGTTTGAAATACTTGTCCAAAATGTTTCTGAAGATTTGCCAAAAGGTCTCAGACCCCATTCAAAGATGCTTCTAAATAAACCGAGACACGGCCCTTTGTTTCTTATTATAAAGACATATTGCCCTATACAGAGCTACAGATCATCGCAGTGATCAAAAGCTTTTGGATCAAAATGATCAGAGTGACCATAACAAAATGTCACAAAGTGATTGTATGGAAGAGTCATCTTAAACAACTGGTAAATGGTGAATGTGCAACGACTATCTTTCCCACAATTCATTACGATATTTTTCACTCAAGCTTGTCTTTGCACTCTTTGACTCCATTGTCTTGGAGAAATTCCAGGGGCATCGAGACTCCATCTCATTCGTAACAAGCTATTAGTTCTTCTTAGGCAACTTCTAGCCACCAGCCACCGTTTTCACCTCATATTTGGAAGGTATCGTTAATCATCATTGTTGCAACGGATCCATCACCCTCATTACCCTTATTGCTATTAAAATTAAGATTACTATTACTTTCATTATTACAATCAACACCATCCCTGTCAGTATTACAATTATTATCATCATAATCATTATAATTATTGAACCTACCAAATACTTGAAGTATTGTGGAATAACTTGTTCCATTTGCTTTGCTTTTTGCTGTACACTTGTATGTTCCTTCCACTTTCTTTGTTGCGTTCTGTATTTTCAGGAATGATTCCTGGAATGAGTCTCCCTTAAAATTTTTTTTATTGATCCCCAGTGGAAGTTTACCGCCATTAAATGTCCAGGTCAGTTTTGGTATTGGAACACCTGTAGCACGGCAAGTAAAGTTTACTGGGTCTCCATCAATAACAGATTGGTTTACCGGAGACAATACAATCTGAGGACTCACTGAAAATAAAAAGAGCACCACTGATGTTCAACAAAGGTTCTCAAGATACAATCGAATAACCACAAGTAGTCTGGCAGTAAGAAGAGCAAATTTGAGAGTCTTCTAAGTACATGAATTTCCTGAGGTAATAGAATCACCTGCACACTGTACACGGGAACATGTGGATATTACTGGCATAAAAATATTAATTTATACTCATATGCAGAATGCAATTTTCCATTCATTTAAAGATATCAATATGAATGACGTATCCTAATCAAAGACAAATTTACAAACAAATGAATAAACTCGGATTGTGGAAATCCTATTCAAATGTCCAACATAAACAAAAGCGTCTTCAAAAAGCTGCTATCGTTTCCTTTGAAGTTGAGTTCAGCTTCAGAAATGTTCATAAAAGATCAAAACGCCACAGTAAAATGGAATATGAATGTATGTATGTATGTATGAACATGGGATATTTAGCTAGGCTAGCCTTGTTCAGCTCAAAGCTGCTTAAAATAGAGGGCCTGTGTGAACTATGACTAGACCAGACCAGATAAGGCTACGTTCCCTACTCTTTGCAAGAAGTGTGTGGGTTTGTTAAAGTCCCCTTCTAACCAGCGTAGAGAAAATGCAGGAGACGGGGCTTACGGTTTATTCTCCTTATCCAAGAAACTAGAATGCTTATCCATTTGCCCATGCCATAGCAAAGGCAGCACATTCTCCTCGTCTATTTAAGACTCTAAGTTGGTCAAGTCAAGGACTTGGACTATCGCACGGCAGTACAGCACTCTACAACGTGAACTAACCAAGCACCGTTTGTAAATCTTCAAACAATGGTTTTGATTTACCAGTAACATCGATCCAGAAGGAGATGTTAACCTTTCCAACCTGATTTTCAGCAGCACATTCATAGAAACCTCCATCGTCAAAAGTCACACGCTTAATAACTAATGTATTGTTGTTACCAAGAGCTTTTCCATCCTTGGTCCAGTTGACAGATACTGGAGGATCACCCCTTTTAAAACAATATGTTTCAAATGTGGAGTTCAGTGGGACTGAAAGATTCTTGAGTGCAGGATTTAGATGTGGTGGACCTAGAAAGAAAAATAAAGGAAAAAAACGATAAGATTATCGTTACAGGTACATTGGTAACTGCAAATAAATGAATGGTCGTGACGACCAGCAACCTTTGGGAAATTTCATTCTGGCGCTGTCAGTACGTTACTTACTTGGTTGACACAAGAATAAAAAACCTTTGCCATCTCATCGCCATTTAACTGGGAAATTTGACTTCCCATCAATCTGAGCGCGATGTGCCAGTTCTAACTCATTAAAAGTGTAGGAAACATCAGACATTGCAAATTAAAGTGATGATCTGATCTTCTAAATTTTAGCAACTGCAACTATCCAGGCTGGCGTACTACTTTAAGCTAGATTTTCGCCTGCTCATAACTTTATGAAAAGGTTATTCAGAATTATGAATAGATGAGCTACGCCATTCAAATCTTGTTTTGAATTGAGAAACGACCTTCAATTATTGTAAATTGGATGTTGACCAATGGCAACACCCGAATAGAAAACAAACAATCATGATGATATTGCAACAAATTATTCGAGTCTCTACAAGTTGGTGCTACTGCTTCTATAAGCCAGTGGTCCCATATTGTAAACTCTGATTTACAGTTTCCTAGAAAAAAGATTGGAAACGGAGCAGTTTCATCGAAAATGAACGACTTTTAAGTTGGTCCAGTCCAGGGCTTGAACTATCGCACAGCAGTAGAGCGCTCTACAACGTGAACTAACCAAGTATCGTTTGTAAATCTTCATAAAATGATTTTGATTTACCAGTAACATCGATCCAGAAGGAGATGTTAACTTTTCCAACCTGATTTTCAGCAGTACATTCATAGAAACCTCCATCGTCAAAGGTCACGCGCTTAATAACTAATGTATTGTTGCTACAAAGAGCTTTTCCATCCTTGGTCCAGTTGACAGATACTGGAGGATCACCCCTTTTAAAACAATATGTTTCAAATGTGGAGTTCAGTGTGACTGAAAGATTCTTGAGTGCAGGATTTAGATGTGGTGGACCTAGAAAGAAAAATATAAGAAAAAAACGATAAGATTATCGTTACAGGTACATTTGTATCTAGATCTTGAATGTAAACATGTAAACACTGCAAACAAATGAATGGTCGTGACGACCAGCAACCTCTAGGAAGTTTCATTCTGGCGCTGTCAGTACGTTACTTACTTGGTTGACACAAGAATAAAAAACCTTTGCCATCTCCACGCCACTTACCTGGAAAATTTGACTTCCCACCAATCTGAGCGCGATATGCCAGTTCTAACTCATTAAAAGTGCAGGAAACATCAGACACTTCAAATTAAGGTGATGATCTGATCTGCTAAATTTTAGCAACTACATCTATCCAGGCTGGCGTACTACTTTAAGCTAGATTTTTGCCTGCTCATAACTTTATGAAAAGGTAATTCAGAATTATGAATGGATGAGCTACGCCATTCAAATCTTGTTTTGAATTAAGAAACGACCTTCAATTATTGTAAATTGGATGTAGACCAATTGCAACACCTGAATAGAAAACAAACAATCATGAGGATATTGCAACAAATTATTCGAGTCTCTACAAGTTGGTGCTACTGCTTCTAAAAGCCAGTGGACCCATATTGTAAACTCTGATTTACAGTTTCCTAAAAAAAAGATTGGAAAAGGAGCAGTTTCATCAAAAATAAACGACCTTTAATGGTTAATGGTAGACACTACAATAATAATAGCTTACGTTTGACTTCTATTGTCACAGTGGAGCGGGCCATATTCCTCAGTCTGTTACGAGCTTCGCAGGAATATTTACCACTGTCCTCTTCCACAACCTTTGCAATAACCAGGTAACTTGTTTTCTTATTCAATTGTGTATCAATGTCTGCCCTTTTTTTTATTGGGTCTCCATCTTTTTTCCAAGTGATATTTACTGTTGCTTCGTTGACGCTGCAAGCTAATGTGAGCTCATCATCTGTGGCAAGTATTAATTGTGAATTTGGTGTTATTTGAGCAGTGGGTTTTTCTGTGTTGAGAAAAAGAAAACTTAGAATCAGACTAGAACAGCTTCACTGATAATATCTTTAGTAATGTAATTATCATGGACCCAGAAGAATCCAAAAGCAACCCTCTGAACGAAAATTGTAAGGTAAATGGCTCTTGAAAAGAGTTTTTGTTAAAAGGTACAATGGCATTACCTGGCCAAAATGAGTGGGGTGACCATTAAAAAAACTTTGCAAAGCTATCACATTGAGGAGTCACCCCAAACCATTGGTGAACTGCACATGCGAGCACAACGAGTATCTTTCCAAGAATTCATCATTTTTCCCAGATACGTTAAACCCAACCAGCTGCTCACATGGGCTTTAGTTTCTCACACAATTTCCAAAATTATGTTCGAAAATCAATCTCTAAACGGTTTTTTCAAAAACCAGTCTCAACAAGCTCTTGGTTATTTTTGATCAACTCTTAGACTAATCACCATCTCCGACTTACATTCTATTCACCAGCAAGGGAGATAAACTCAAAAGATGAAGGCATCATATATAATCATTGTTTACAAGAGATCCATTATCATTATTATCATATATATCACTAAAATTGTGATTACTATCATTCTCATTAGTATTGTCTACCTACCAAAAACGTGAAGTGTTGTGGAGGAACTGGTTGTATTTGCTTTGTTTTTAGCTGTACACTTGTATATTCCTTCCATTTTCTTCGTTATTTTCTGCATTTCCAGAAATAATTCTACAAATGAGTCTCCCTCTAAATTGTTTTCTTCAGTACCTGATGGAAGTTTACCGTCATTAAATGTCCAGGTCAGATTTGGTGTTGGAACACCTGTGGCACGGCAAGTAAAGTTGACTGAGTCTCCATCAATAACAGACTGGTTTATCAGAGACAGTTTGATCTGAGGAGAAACTGGAAATAAAAAAAGGCACCGTTAATCTTCAATCAAGGTTCTCAAGATAGAACTGGACAACCACAGGTCATTTTGCAGTCGTTAAATGTGTGAGAAGATATTTTTGAGTCTGCTAAATACGTGTATTTTCAGAAGTTAGAGATATTACCTGGATTCTATACAGGGAATAGATAGGGATATCACATTTCAAATGGGTATGTTAGACCCCTAAATATATTAATAACATGAAAACCTTAGTTTATACCAACATAACTAAAGTGAGCATCCACTTTAAATCTAGATATCAATCTTACTGAGGTATCCAAATCGAAGACAAACCAAGCACTGTTTGTAAATATTCATAGAATGATTTTGATTTACCAGTGACATCGATCCAGAAGGAGATGTTAACTTTTCCAACCTGATTTTCAGCAGCACATTCATAGAAACCTCCATGATCAAGTGTCATGCGCTTAATAACTAATGTATTTTTGTTATCAAGAGCTTTTCCATCCTTGGTCCAGTTGACATATACTGGAGGATCACCCCTTTTGAAACAATCTGTTTCAAATGTGGAGTTCAGTTGGACTGAAAGATTCTTGAGTTCAGGATTTAGATGTGGTGGAACTAAAAAGAAAAATTTAAAATAAAAGTCATGATGAGATAATATTAACAGATACAGAGAAAATATTGTCATGGCAGACATTTTGTTTTGGTTCCAACTCATTGCTCCAGCCAATGACTAACAAATAGCAGCTGTGTAATATAAGTAAGCTAAGAAACAAAAAGTTGGAAGCAAGCGCCACACTTCTAAGTTTACTGAAGAAGGATTCAACTACACGTTAAATTGAGAGAAAAATATTTCCTATTGAACTTGTGAATGATCGCAAATCACGCGTGACTCTTCGCTTAAGGATCAAGCTCGGAAAATTAATTACAAACCCTTAACAACTAGTAAGGGTTTTTCCTAAAAGTTCATTAAAATTCCTGGTGGAGATTTAGGCATCATGAGAGTGAAGACTGTCATCCTCAGAGACTTACACAAATGATTTTGCACGGCTAACCACCAATACCACCGCATCATTGCCATATGGAATTCGAAATTTAAACTTGTTAGCAAAATATAATGTTGTAGCAGATTCTTTGAGTCTGATTTGTGAATAATAGGGAACCACAAGAGATTTCTTGGTCATCAATCAAAAGGAATGAAACAGAAGTAACGGAAATTAGTTACTATCACTTATCAATTGTTAATTTCTCTTATAAGTTCAACACTACATCTGTGTGGAGAAAGGGGGTAAGTTTCTAAAAAAACTTTGGTGCTGCGTCAGTGGGAGAGTATAACAGGGTAATTGAGTGTTATCAACTGAGTTGAAAACATAAATTGGCCACCGTAAAGAACTTAAAGGCTGACATTTCAAGCATTAGTCCTTTGCCAGATTAATTGGAGGAGTTGTGGATTGTGTGTGGGTTTATATGCAGAAAATAGAGCTACGCTATTGGTGGGAATATAGTGATGAGAAACAAGAATAAATTAGTTGAATGAAAAGTGCTCAACTAATTTATTCGTGTTTTCTCGTCACCACATTCCCACCAATAGCGTAGCTCCACTGTCTGTGTGGAGAGTCAGGCACCATGCAGGCGAGGCCTGTCATCCAAGAGGATACTACAGAAATGATCTTGCTCGACTAACCAGCAGTACGTATGTATCATATTGATTTGCAGTTCAAAATTTTAAAGTAAATGTTAAAAGAAGGAAGAGATTCAAGAAGAAAACCCTCCAACTAGATGGAGGTATTTCCTCACTCAAGAAGACAGCACAATGATCCTGACCAGTACCTTAACCAAAGCAATTAGTCCAGAGTCTATCCCGCCGCAGCTTACACAACTGAATGGTTTAAAATCCAGTTTTAGACTTAAAAACTTACCTTTAACAGAAATATAGATGTTTTCAGCAAAAATTCCTCCAGGATTTTTCGCTTCACAGGTATACAGACCTGTGTCTTTCTGTGTTATCTTATGAAAGGAGAGAGACATGTTGTGTCCTTCAGATAAGTTATTCTTAAGCCAGGTTATCTGCGGCTGAGGCTGACCTTGAATGATTTTACAAGTCAAAGTCACAGTGTCTCCTTCTCTGATTAGATTGCTTGCTCCTGAAATTCTCACCTCTGGTCGAACTTTGAATAAACAAGTAAAAAAGTTAAAACACAGTGGCTTTAGTTATACACACATAATAGAAATATCCTAAAGAGCAATTTCCTTTTGGGTTACTAACATCAGTGTATAAATTAGAAAATGCATTTTCATCTGACTAATTTGAATAACCAGATGAAAGTCCTTTTTGAACAGCTAAAAACAACAAATCATTGGAACATATAAGGTGACCTTACAGAAATGCCTATCAGCAAAAAATTAAAAGCCCTTCAAAAAAGAGTAACAAAGATTGTTTTAACCTCAATAAATGAAATCAAAAACCCATCTTACCAGCATTATCTACATGCAACTGAACTACTTAATGACTAAATTCTTAAGATCAGCTATTGATAGTTACCTATAATGTTTAGCTTCATCTTTAATATATTTTAGACTGCATTTTGTACTATTCATATTTTAGGGTAGATATTTTAGTCGTTTAAGTTTTGTATTTTGTATTAGTCTGTGTTCCCTTATTGGCATGGATTCCTCAGGCTTCATGGTTTGACACTGAAATAAAGTTTTTATCACTATTTTTACTATTATTACGTGTTGGTATAATGACCGAACCAGTTTCAGTTTTTTCCAATAACTTACTCACCTATAACAGACACATTTATGCTTTTATGTCTGCTTGTGACCCTTTTTGATCCTTTATTTTGTGTCACAGTACATCTGTATGTGCCACTGTCTTCAGGGTGAACAGGATCAATCTGTAGACTGCCACTGGGAATTTGAGTGAATCTTCTTCCATTAAGTACTAACTTTTCTCCTTGTTTCCTCCAGGTTATCTGTGGACGTGGTGTTCCTTCAGCACCACAGTTTATAGTACCAGATGTGTAAGCAGTGAGGCTCTGTTGGTCTCTAGTGTTCTCAGTGAATCTTGCTGTTGAAATAAATAAAGAAAATAACCACTTACTGAAGCCGCAATGAAGAAGAGCTAACTAGTCCCTATTGTGTGTCTATATTGTGAGTGCCGGGCACATTTACTTCTATGTTAACTTACTCTACAATGAGGCAATTAAGGTCTTCTAAATGTGTTGAAAAGGATTTTCCTACCATTAATGTAAACCGTGTAATACTGAACATATTCCAGTCTGAGGCATTCATATGTTCCTCCATCAGACAACTGCACATTTTCTATGACCAGTTTACCATCTTCTGTGGCCTTGACCCTCTTAGAAGAAGAATTCATCCTTTGCACCTTTTGACCATTAATGACCCATCTCGCAAAACTGGTTTTGTTACGTATTGAGCAGTGAAGGATTTCATTGCTGCCAATATCAAAGTAAAGATTCTCTTTTCCCAATACTTCTTCATTCTCTGAAAGAAATGTTTTCAAGTAGCACAATTATCAGTTCATTCTGTCTCAGTATTTTGGCATTAGTTTGTTTCAAAACTAATAATATCTTGATCTTTGATGTTTAACTTTAAACACGTGACTATTCATGAGGACCAGTCACCTTTAGGAATTTCCACCTCGACGTTATTAATATCTTACTTACTTGGTTGACACAGTGCTTGAGAACCTTTGCTATCTCCTCGACATTGACCAGGGACATTTAACTTTCCATCAGTGCGTGCACAAGATGCAAGTTCTACCTCCTCTCCATTGCAGGAAACATCCGCCATTACAGAAGTAATGTTTCCATCCTCTACGTTTGAGCCAATGAATTCAGCAAGAGCCTCTTCAAAGCCAAGTTGACGGCAAATAACTTGGGCATCATTGAAATCCCATCCATTGGTACAGATTTTTCCCCATTTCCCTTTGTAAAATACTTCCACTCTACCACCATACTTTACATTTGCACCATTCAAGCGAACGGGAACTTATAAAGTCACAAAATATTGAGCAATCAGTAAAGATAAGTTAACAGTGAATTTATAAAAGGAAGAAATATGGATAAGAGAAGGAGACAGCAGGATTAGGAAGAAATTTAAAAGTGCAAGGTGTTCATACAGGTTTAGAAATCCAATTTAGCTGTACAGGTTATTTGATAGGCAGCTGTTCAGGTATCATTTTTGGGCCTCTTTACGCCTTCAACAATTTAAATTATTCCTCAAAAAAACCTAATTGTCAATATATATCATATTTTTTTAGAGAGCAGTCTTCAAGAAAACACTAGTACATAATCAATTACCAAAGCAAGAAAGGATGTTTTGGCAAGGTCTACCACTGGAATTATGATCAAGTCTATAAAGGTACCTAGAATAGGATGTAAAGACTGAAATAGATCTGACAACAGAGTCCAAAATGCATAATTGGTTAATACCTTTGCAGAATTGCAGTTTGTTTGAGAAGCTTTCTTCACATTTAGTCAAAGTGGTGGTGCAGTTGAAATTAGTAGATGCCTCTGATACAATGCCACTGTCTTCATACCATCTACCATAATCACTGCTGTTAGAGTATCCCATTGCGATGCACGTCAAATCTACTTCAACTTTATTCCATGTACTGGTGCAAAGCTTTTTCCAGCTGCTGTTTGTATGGATTTCCATTGTACCAACTGATGGATTGCTCTCTGTTTTAAAGCGCAGTGGAAATACTGATGAAAGAAATAATACAAAAGGATATGTATATCTTGAGAGGCCCTCTTGATGATTGCCCCAAATAGGTACTTAGTTTCATATGTTAATACCAATTCTAAGAGAGTTAGAAACATAATCATCAGCCTGAAATGAAATAGTATCTTTCAGGACCAGTTTAAAAAAAAAAAATAATTGATACTGCTCACATCAGACATCCCATGCTATTCTATCAAGAAACTAAATATTTCAGTAGTGATTGACAAGAAACTTAGCACTAAATGCTTACGGATGACAACAGTGCACACTGTAATGAGGATAATAACAATATAAATGATAATACTAAAGTAACATAAACATTTGCAATAATAGTAATAGGGATTGTATGATAATAACCAGGCAGTGTGCACACTCTGATTGTGTTGCATGATGGTTGTAAAATGAAAAGTGAGTCATTTATATCCTGTCGCAGTTGAGTGAACATCTCTAGTGGCAGCAAGATAGTGCAAATAGATGTTGAATATAATGGGGATTCACTGCTGTTGCCATTCCTTCGAAAGTTAAAAAGCGTTGGCAGGCCTGCGCAACTCCTGTTATTACTCTGTGACAAACTTGTTGTTAGGAGGCAACTGAAGAGATTCAGAAAGAATCAAAACTGCAGCCTTGGCCAAGAATCTATTCATTTGGCTGCAGTTACACTCACAGCCGATGGCTGTGTGAATAATATCAAATTCCCGAGTTATTTAATAAGGAATCAACCCTTGACATACAAACTCATTACAAAGAGACAGCTACCTTCTTATACAAATTATTTTTCATGTCATCCACTTAAAGGTGTAAATACGGGATTCACAAAAGGAGAAGCGTTACGCCTTCTTAGACCAAATTCGTCATGCTCAACATTTAATAAAAAAACATACAGATTTCAAATATGCTTAAAAGAATAGAGAATACTTAAAATAAGGTTTTGAAAACCATATCTCTGGAGTTATCTTCTGTGGGAGAGACAGTATACTTGAAAACAAAGAAAATAGCGCGCACACATGAACATATTACCTTTTGTAACACGATCTCATTCGGCTTTGCCAAACCTCAAGAACATACAGACAGGGAAATTACACCTTAAAACTAACCCTTATTATCACATCGCAGAGAAGAGTCATTAAAAGATATGTTTATAACAGCTAAGTTTTCAGGTCAGAAGATTTAAAAGCGCCAGCGAATGGCAGGAGTCTCACAAGCCTATCAACACCTTTTCACGATTGACTGCATTTTGCTTTCCGGCTTACCCGGCGTGTCGCCGCGTGCATTGTAGAGTTATTCAGTGGCCAAATGACTTCTTTCATTGCTCTAATTCAACTGTCCTTCATTCAGTGATCAAGATAGTAGATTTACCATACAACACTCACGATGAGTTAATTTGCTTCTACTTAGAAAAGTAGATTTACTACACAATTGAGTATACAATAGTTAAACGCTGTGTAACGCAACAATAGGCCTTTTTTGGTCATAATCGGTCTCAAACACTAGCACTTAAAATGCGCGAAACACGTGTACCGTTGGAGAGCGTTTGAGAGTGTTTAGTCAGAGCTGTTGAAGAAGGATCAAAGCGGCCATCCAAATCTTTGAAAGGCTCCAAACTACGACGTACATCAAATTTGACCTTTTCGAAAACTGGTCTCAAATTACATACTAAAAAAACAGTGATCGCGTTTGTCCTTGAGAACTATAGAATACGCGACAACTACGTACAAAAAATACTTTTACACATTCAGAATAAATCAGGTTATATTTACCTATGGTGAAAGGAAAAAGGAGCGGCGTAACTTTTACGGAATGTTCAGTTAAAATCTGCCGATTTCTGCCGCTTTCACCGCCATATTGAAAATAAAGCTACCCCAATGCAATGCAATCGGAGTGCGCACACCGCCTGGATAATAATAATGATAACGATATGATCCTGATGATAATAACAAGTGAGAAAATGATAATGATAATACTAATGAAAACAACTTTATTCAAGCACAGGCGGCCCAAGCTCCAGCTGTGAGATGATCATCTTACGCAATAACAGTCGTGGCGGAATTATAAGAGTTTGTATGGGAATATTTACGACCGCTCTATGGAATTAAAAAGTACGTCGAATTCTCAGTAAAAATACCTCACCTTCCACAGCGTATCACTTGTTATCTGACCGCTTACTTCGATGAAAAGAACCCATTTTAGCAAGTTGTCCATTTCGAGGTTTTCCACGTACATAAGAAAAGCCCAAGGCTGAACACTCCATTTCCGAACGCCCGATCCGAGAAGCGAAAAATCCCAGTGAAAAATGGCCTTGCTTGGTAACTCTGCCTCCTTTTTAAACTGGGCCTGGCCGGGGACCACACCGTAACATTGGCACCCATGGTGCTGGTCCCTGGCGATATGAAAAGGAGGCAGGGCTACCAAGCTGGTTTTCAACGGTCGTGTGTCAAGGTTGATGTGTACGAAGGCTGGCAGAAACCTCTAAACTGGACATTTTTGAAGCAAACTGCGGTTTAGCGTCGGTTGCACGGGAAAGATTGAGTTTGTAGTGAGTTGAAATGAAACCAAAGTATATGTGCTTGGATTCTGCGTTGGATTTGTGGCCGCCCGGTCATTTTGCGCTGGAATTTTTCGCTTCTCGGATCGGACGTTCGGAAATGGAGTGTTCAGACGTGGGCTTTTCTTACGTACGTGGGAAACCTCGAAATGGACAACTCGCTAAAACGGGTTCTTTTCATCAAAGTAAGGTTTCAGGTAACAAGTAATACGCTGTGGAAGTAAGGTAAGGTATTTTTATTGAGAATTTGACGTATTTTTTAATTCCTTCAAGCGTTCGTAAATATTCCCATACAAACTCTTATAATTCCGCCATGACTGTTATTGCACAAGATGATCATCTAACAGCTGGAGCTTGGGCCGCCTGTGATTCAAGCTGCGATGTAATGCTAATGCTAATTTTGGACAAGGTCAATTTATTAGTATGTAGATTAAACGACAACGGCTTTTGACAGGACTTAGCCTTTATAAAATGTGGGGTTCAACTATGATTAGACTTTGGACCATCCATGATGTCTGTATTTCAATTAATGTTACCCTTTGTAATTAAAACTCTGACTCACTGATTTTACCATCTGTATGTTACCTTCGTGGCAGCTGGACATTTTGTTACATTCCCTTACAAGTGCTCTGCTCCCATTACAATGTTCCCCGCCATATGCTGGTTCTGGATTGGAACATTCTCTAAACCTTATCTGTATGCCACTGACTGTTTTAGTGCAGATACTCCAAGGACTCCACTCACTCCAACCACCATTGACTAACAATGTTTCAAGAATAAGCCATTAAGAAACAACTTTAAAACTTTAAAACTCGCCCTTGTAATCCACCCCCTCAAGTTACATTGCAGCTCTCTAATGCTCCCCAGGATGACAAGCCACCATCAACTCTCATTGTATCAGAGGTTAACATGATTAACAAGTTAAATATATTATAAAATGAAGAACTGCTTGTGGATATTGCAAATTGCTTGCATGTATATTGCTAATTCACTCAACATTTTGACCGTTTCAAATAAGAATAAGGAATGAAAGAAACTTTACAAAATTTAAATACCAGCATATGGTAGAAACCTTACAGCTACTAAACATTGATATCCACATTGATATTGCAAATTGCATGCGTATATAATGCTGATTCATTAAACCTTTTGAACAAAGAAGGTAAAGATAAGGCATGAACAGAACTTTAACAAATCTAAATGGCAGCGTATGGTAAAAACCTTGCAACTACTAAACATTGATATCTAAAAAACTATGTAAACTGAACTAAAGGTGCATGGAGCACCAGGAACCAGCCAAATTAATAATTAAAATTATAAAAGATTGTTGGTTTAACACTGATTACACACTCTCACCTGGACAATGATTTGTGTTGCAAGATTGGCTCATGCTACTATGTCCATGGCACCCTCCGCCCCACCGTGGGGGAGGATTTGTACAGCTGCGCTTTTGGCTCTGCGACCCACCACCGCAAGTTAGGCTACAACTCCCCCATGACCCCCAGGATGACCAGCCTCCATCAACTATATTCATAACAGAACTTTAAATAATTAACAAGTTATATTGACTCTAAATAGAAGAACTTGCCTACCAATATTGTAAACTGCATGCACGAAACATTGCCCATTCATTCGAGTTTTTTTTTACTATATAAAATGAAAATTATTATAAGAATTCATGAGTTATAACCATTGTAACTTATGACTGGTATTTTCCATGCTCACTTGCGTGCTATGGAGAATACGCATACTGATGTTAGGGTGTCAAAGGTTAAAGAATATAATATAAGAATATAATGTGATATAGTGTGAAGAAGAGTCCTTTTTCTCATTCAATAATGATAGTATTTAAAAATCAATGGTGATCCATCCCTTCTGCTCTCGTGAACATGATTACTTGCATATATATTGCTAATTCATTCAACATTTGAACCATTTCAAATAAGAATAAGGAATGAAAGAAACTTTACAAAATTTAAATACCAGCATATAGTAGAACCCTTACAGCTACTAAACATTGATATCCACATTGATATTGCAAATTGCATGCATATATAATGCTGATTTATTAAACCTTTTGAACAAAGAAGATAAGGATAAGGCATGAACAGAACTTTAACAAATCTAAATGGCAGTGTATGGTAAAAATCTTGCAACTACTAAATATTGATATCTAAAAAACTACGTAAATTGAACTAAAGGTGCATGGAGCAACTGGAACTAGCAAAATCAATAATCAAGATGATAAAAGATTGTTGGTTTAACACTGATTACACACTCTCACCTGGACAACGATTTGTGTTGCAAGATTGACTCCTACTACTACTTCCACAGCACCACCATCCGCCCCTACCTGGGGGAGGATTTGTACAACTGCGCTCTTGGTACTCCGACCCACCACCACAGGTTAGGCTGCACCTCCCCCATGACCCCCAGGATGACCAGCCACCATGAACTATATTTATATCAGAAATTTAATGACTGACAAGTTAAAGTGACACCAATTACACACTCTCACCTGGACAATGATTTATGTTGCAAGATTGACTCCTGCTACTACTTCCACGGCACCGCCATCCGCCCCGACCTGGGGGAGGATTTGTACAGCTGCGCTTTCGGCTCTGCGACCCACCACCACAAGTTAGGCTACAACTCCCCCATGACCCCCAGGATGACCAGCCACCATCAACTATATTCATAACAGAACTTCAGATGATTAACAAGTTATATTGACTCTAAATAGAAGAACTGCCTACCGATATTGTAAACTGCATGCACAAAACATTGCCCATTCATTCGAGTTTTTTACATTATATAAAATAAAAATAACTATAAGAATTCATGAGTTATAACCATTGTAGCTTATGGCTGATATTTTCCATGCTCACTTGCGTGCTATGGAGAATACGCATACTGATGTTAGGGTGTCAAAGGTTAAAGAATTGATATTGTGAGAGATGTACAGACAATTTAAGCCTTTTTTTAGGACTTAAATATTAATAATAAATATAATGTGATATAGTGTGAGGAAAAGTCATTTTTCTTATATCAATAATGATAGTATTTGAAAATCACTTTTTTATCTTATTCCATTATGGTCAGATAACATCAATATAAAAGGAAATTACCTTCTTTTTGTACTTTTTTGCAGCCAAAAATGTATAGAGGACTTAAATGTTAATAATAAATATAATGTGATATAGTGTGAAGAAGAGTCCTTTTTCTCATTCATTAATGATAGTATTTTAAAATCAATGGTGATCCATCCCTTCGGCTCTCATGAACATGATTACTTGCATATATATTGCTAATTCATTCAACATTTTAACCGTCTCAAATAAGAATAAGGAATGAAAGAAACTTTACAAAATTTAAATACCAGCATATGGTAGAACCCTTACAGCTACTAAACATTGATATCCACATTGATATTGCAAATTGCATGCGTATATAATGCTGATTTATTAAACCTTTTGAATAAAGAAGATAAGGATAAGGCATGAACAGAACTTTAACAAATCTAAATGGCAGCGTATGGTAAAAATCTTGCAACTACTAAACATTGATATCTAAAAAACTACGTAAATCGAACTAAAGGTGCATGGAGCACCTGGAACTAGCAAAATCAATAATCAAGATGATAAAAGATTGTTGGTTTAACACCGATTACACACTCTCACCTGGACAATGATTTGTGTTGCTAGATTGACTCCTACTACTACTTCCACAGCACCACCATCTGCCCCTACCTGGGGGAGGATTTGTACAACTGCGCTCTTGGTACTCTGACCCACCACCACAGGTTAGGCTGCACCTCCCCCATGACCCCTAGGATGACTAGCCACCATGAACTATATTTATATCAGAACTTTAATGACTGACAAGTTAAAGTGACACCAATTACACACTCTCACCTGGACAATGATTTGTGTTGCAAGATTGACTCCTGCTACTACTTCCATAGCATCTCCTTCCACCCCCACTTGGGGGAGGATTTGTACAACTGCGTTCTCGGTACTGTGACCCACCACCACAGGTATGGCTGCACCTCCCCCATGACCCCCAGGATGACCAGCCACCATTAACTATATTAATATCAGAACTTTAATGACTGACAAGTTAAAGTGGCTCTAAATAGAAGAACTGCCTGCCAATATTGCAAATTGCATGCATATATATTGCTCATTCATTCAACATTTTAACCATTTCAAATAAGAATAAGGCATGAAAGAAACTTTACAAAATCTTAATACCAGCATGTGGTAGAAACCTTGCAACTACTTAACATTGACACCTATATTGATATTGTAAAATGCATGTGTATGCAATGCTGACTCACTAAACTTTTTGAATGAAACATATAAAGATAAGGCATGACCAGAACTTAACCAAATCTAAATAGCAGCTTATGGTAAAAACCTTGCAACTACTAAACATTGATTTCTAAAATACTATGTAATTAATTTAAAGATTTAAGTTTTCCACTATATTAAATTAAAATAACAATAAGAATTCATGAGTTAGAACCATGGTAACAGATGGCTGGTATTTTCCATGCTCACTTGTGAGCTACGGAGAACACAAATACTGATGTTAGGGTGTCAAAGGTTAAAGAATGATGAATGTGATAGATGTACAGGCATAATAGTGTTATTTTGAAATCACTGATGATCTTTCCTTCTTGGTGGGCTATCATGGGCATGATAATTTTAAAGGATTAATCAATTGTGAGGATGTCTTTAGACTTAATCGATACTGCATATAACGATAGCTATTTCACCATATCCTCATCAAAAAGAACAAGCCAAAATCCACATAAAAGGTAAAGAGATAGTATTTGTTAAAAGAAAGTAATCATTACAAAGTTAATTTCATTCAGTTATAGTTAGGAGAATCTATGATAGAATTCTTAACAAAAGTAAGGAGTTTCAAGTTATTAATGTATGAAAAGAATTCTCTTAAAAGAAACTATTCTGTCAAAGAAAGTAATTTTGTTAGGGATTGATTTTATTCATTCTCAAATTTAAGAGTTAGCAGAATCCTTGATACAGGACTAAAATAAAAAAAGAACAAGTCACATTCTCATTAACAATTAAGTAAGGTATGAAGATACCAGCTGATTCATTCCACAAAATCCACATGAAAAGAAAAGAGATAATATTATTTGTTGAAAAAAAGTAATCATCTGAAAAGTTAATTTCATTCATTCTTATATTGAAGAGTTAGCAGAATCCTTGATAGAGTTCTCAACAAAAGTAAGAATATTTAATTAAAAAAAACAACAACCTTAATTTGAAAGTACAATGAAATCACCACACTACAGGATGCTCATTAACTATCATGTAAATCAGCAAAACAGCTAGGCTCATATTTTAAACCAACTTTATTCTGGTCAGATAGCATTAACATGAAAGTAAATCAGGTTCTTTTGCTATGATTAAAGTGGTCACGTTCCTGCACCAAAGAATATATCATGGATATGATAATAATAAATATGTGATATAATGTGAAGAAAAGTCATTTTTATTACATCAGTAAGGATAGTGTTTTGAAATCACTGGTGATCCTTGCCATCTGATTGGCTCTCATAGACATGATGAACATCATAAGATGGATTAATTATGAGGATGTGATTAGAACTTGATTAATACTGCATATTATGGTAGTTACTGCACCATATCCTCATGAAAAGGAAGTAAAAAAAAAGTAAGGTATAGAGACACTTATGACCTGATTAGTTCCACAAAATCCACGTGAAAAGTAAAAGGGTAGTATTATTAAAAGAAAGTATTCGTCTGAAAAGGTAATTTTATTCATTCTCATACTCAAGAGTTAGGAGAACCCTTGATACAGGACTTAAATGATAATAATAAGTAAAATGCAAAGAAAAGTCATTTTTCTTATATTAATAAAGAGTTAATTTCATTCATTCTTATATTGAAGAGTTAGCAGAATTCTTGATAGAGTTCTCAACAAAAGTAAGAATATTTAATTAAAAAAAAACAATAACCTTAATCTGAAAGTAACATGAAATCACCACACTGCAGGATGCTCATTAACTATCATGTCAACAAGTAATGTAAATCAGCAAAACAGCCAGGCTCATATTTTAAATCGACTTTATTCTGGTCAGATAGCATTAATATGAGAGGAAATCAGGTTCTTTTGCTATGATTAAAGTGGTCATGTTCCCACACCAAAGAATATATCGTGGACTTAAATGATAATAATAAATATAATGATATAATGTGAAGAAAAGTCATTTTTATTATATGAATAAGGATAGTATTTTGAAGTCACTGGTGATCCATGTTATCTGATTGGCTCTCATAGACAAGAGGAACATCATAACATGGATTAATTATAGGGATGTGATTAGAACTTGATTAATACTGCATATTACGGAAGTTACTGCACCATATCCTCATGAAAAGGAAGTAAAACAAAAAAGTAAGATATGAAGACACTTATGACTCATTCACTCTGATATTGAAGAATTAGCAGAATCCTTGATAGAGTTCTCAATCTAAGTAAAAAGATTCAATTTAAAAAAAACAACAACCTTAATTTTAAAGTAAAGTAAAATCACCACACTACTGAATGCTCATTAAATATCATGTCAAAAATCAATATAAATCAGCTAACTAAAGTACAAAGTTACTTACGTGCTGATTTGTTCCACAAAATCCACATGAAAAGTAAAGGGATTATATTGATTATTAAAAGAAAGTAATCATCTGAAAAGGTAATTTTATTTATTCTCATACTCAAGAGTTAACAGAATCCTTGGTACAGGACTCAAATGATAATAATAAAGGTAATGTGAAGAAGAGTCATTTGTCTTTAATTAATATAAGTACTGTTTTGAAATCACTGATTATCTGTCCTTTTTGGTGGGCTCTCATGGGCGTGATAACTTTAAAGGATTGATCAATTATGAGGACGTCTTTAGACTTGATTGATCGTGCATATAATGGTAGCAATTTCACCATATCCTTATATAAAAGAGCGGGCCAAGTTCTCATAAAGAATTAAGTAAAGTATGAAGACACTTACGACCTGATTCGTTCCACAAAATCCACATGAAAAGTAAAGAGAGAGTATTATTTGTTAGAAATAGTAATCATCTGAAAAGTTAATTTCACTCATTCTGATATTGAAGAGTTAGCAAAATCCTTGATAGAGTTCTCAATGAAAGTAAGAAGATTCAATTTAAAAAAAACAACAACTTTAACTTGAAAGTAAAATGAAATCACCACACTACCGAATGATCATTAAATATCATGTCAAAAGTCTATAAATCAGCTTAGCAAAGTATGAAGTCACTTACGATCTTGTTCCACAAAATCCAAATGAAAAGTAAAGAGATAATATTTGTTAAAAAAAGTAATCATTAGAAAAGTTAATTTAATTTATTCCGATATTAAAGAGTTAGAAGAATCCTTGATAGAGTTCTCAATCAAAGTAAAAAGATTCAATTTTAAAAAACAACAACCTTAATTTGAAAGTAAAGTGAAATCACCACACTACAGGATGCTCATTAACTATCATGTCAACAATTAATGTTAATCAGTAAAACAGCCAGGCTCATATTTTAAACCGACTTTATTCTGGTCAGATAGCATTAATATGAAAGGAAATCAGGTTCTTTTGCTATGATTAAAGTGGTCACGTTCCTGCACCAAAGAATATATCATGGACTTAAATGATAATAATAAATATAATGTGATATATTGTGAAGAAAAGTCACTTTTATTATATCAGTAAGGATAGTATTTTGAAATCACTGGTGATCTATGCCATCTCATTGGCTATCATGGAGGTGATGAACATCATTATATGGATTAATTATGAGGATGTGATTAGACCTTGATTAATACTGCATATTACGGTAGTTACTGCACCATATCCTCATGAATAGGAACAAATCACATTCTCATTAACCATTCAGTAAGATATGAAGATACTTACGAGCTGATTTTTTCCACAAAATCCACATGAAAAGTAAAGAGATAATATTGTTTGTTAAAAAAAGTAATCATCTGAAAAGTTAATTTCAATCATTCTTGTATTGAAGAGTTAGCAGAATCCTTGATAGAGTTCTCAATCAAAGTAAGAAGATTCAATTAAAAAAAACAACAACCTTAATTTGAAATTAAAATGAACTCACCACACTACGGGATACTCATTAAATATCATGTCAACAAGTAATGTAAATCAGCAAAACAGCCAGGCACGTATTTTTAAGCCAATTTTATTCTGGTCAGATAGCATTAATATGAAAGGAAATCAGGTTCTTTTGCTATGATGAAAGTAATCATGTTCACGCACCAAAGAATATATCATGGACTTAAATGATAATAATAAATATAATGTGATATAATGTAAAGAAAAGTCATTTTTATTTTATCAGTAGGGATAGTATTTTGAAATCACTGGTGATCCATGCCATCTGATTGGCTATCATGGACGTGATGGACATCATTATATGGATTAATTATGAGGATGTGATTAGAACTGAATCAATACTTCATATTACGGTAGTTACTGCACCATATCCTCATGAAAAGTAAACAAGTCACATTCTAATTAACAATTGAGTAAAGTAGGAAGACACTTACGAACTGATTAGTTCCACAAAATCCACATGAAAAGTAAAAGGATTATATTAATTATTAAAAGAAAGTAATCATCTGAAAATTTAATTTTATTCTCAAACTCAAGATGTAGCAGAATCCTTGATACAGGACTTAAATGATAATAATAAATATAATGTGAAGAAAAGTCATTTTTCTTATATTATTATAGTATTATTTTGAAATCACTGATGATCTTTCCTCTCTATTGGGCTCTTATGGGCGTGATAACTTTATAGGATTGATCAGTTATGAGGATGTCTTTAGATCGATACTGCACATAACGGGAGTTATTGCACCACATCCTCACGAAAAGGAACAAGCCAATTTCATATTAATCATTATGTAGAGTATGAAGACACTTACTCACTGTTTCGTTCCACAAAGTCCACATGAAAAGTAAAAGGATATTATTAATTATTAAAAGAAAGTAATCATTTGAAAAGTTAA